AAGTATGGTTGTGGGCTTCAAGGAGGGAGCACAGGACGAGTAGAATTCGAAATCCGCGGGAAGCAATCCTCGACCCGACGCCCGAGCCTAAGTCGACTCCACATAGGAGATTCAAAATTCTGAAGACCGAGAAATATTTTCTCTGCATAGTCGATTTTTGCGTTGGCATGGGACGGTCTGACTTAGCTCGGCGTTCATGAAGTCTTTCATTGGAAGAAATGCTCACTGTCTTGCCGCTCTCACAGAGAGCTCGTCATTCTCAGAAAATGCATCACTTCTCGAACGAGGGTACGATTCGCGTACTGTTCAGCGCGGGGACCACAATCTCCACGGACCGCTTCCCAGAGCAATGACAAAGACAGTGATGGAGTCTCTGCCAATCATCGGACGGGAGCTTCGGTACGAACGATTCTCACAGTGGACAGGCTGCCCTCACCTAGTCGGTCCATTGGTAGTACGAAAGGCGAGCGAGGGGCAACTCGTCTGAAGGTCAATCACATCATTCCACAGGAGCCGATCGATGGATGGAGAGGAAGCGCGTCGCTAATCCCGCGGCGTGAGTGGTCGATTGCGCCCAGGGGCACTCGACGAGCCCATTTTCGGATACAAAACTGCTATCGAGCCCAGACAGTCGTCGATCGTCATAGGGTTGGATTCCTCTGATGTCCGGAGCCTTTTATCGGGAGGAAAGATCACGAAGATACGTAAAGAGGTCACATCGAAGAGGCGACTCTGGAGTCCAATGTCTGAACTCGCCCTCGCAGCGAGGCGTAGCAGCTTTTCTCCGACGGTCTCCAGACCTTCGACCTTTGCATCTTCAGTTGGGGCTGGCTCTTTGCCGTAGACGTAACTTGTCCTCATCGAACTGAGCCATGATGTTATAGTCGAACTGCAGCAGGATCGCAATCGTAGTTACAACGGTGCACGCATATGACAGTAAGGTTGCCTTTTCGTTTGTGAAACAATTCGACAACAGCACAGCGTCCTGTGTCATGTCGTAGGCGAGCTCTACCGATCCGAGGAAAAGCTGATCGTGCGGCAGCTTAGACTTCTGTTTCGAGACGAATCTTGCCGAGACCGATCGGCATAGACCTATGATGTCTGTCCCAATGCTGGCCATTTCGTAGAGGATCGTGATCTGTAGACACGCGCTGAGTATCTGTATGCGACGCACCGGTTGATTCGGAGTCGTCATCAGGATCACGACCCGATAGCAGATAGCGACTACCTTGATGTATACGAAACTCCCGATTCGACGGAAGAGGGCATTGAATGCGCCTGTCGTAAGCCGTATATCCGCTCTCGATTCGAGTATGAGCTCCATCGAGCTTTCTCCCAAGGAATCGTGGAGTGCCTCGAGGCGCCGCTTGATTATTCGCGGACCGATGAGGAAGAACAGGTAGCAGCTGTGTTGGATCTGGAACAAGTACGCTTCACAACGCTCTGATATGATTCGCAGGATGCGCCAGGAGTCGGCGATCTGTTCATCGAGCGTCGTTTGGGACAGACCTCTCGCCTGTTGATTGCTGAATAACAGAAATGAGTCCACTGAAGTCCAAACCGAGACACAGAACAACCAGCATAAAACCCCCTTGCTGTCGATAAATCGGTGGTTTTTCGGATCGGAGAGCAATCGTTCTAATTTCCCCGCACTGAACCACAGCGTATGAGTTATTTCAATAAAAAGTAGACCGGCGATCAACACGTACCAGACGAAGAAAATATTATTGATGCTCGGACCCGATTGCAGCTCGTGGTAAATGAGAATCGATTTGCCGATGAAGTAGAACACGATGCCGAATGAGAGAACAGAGCGTGTGAGCAGGATCAAGACACATCGTGGGCGACGCTCGACCAGTCCTCCCCAAATCGGTCCCAGTGTTGATTTGAGGTCCACGCCACACAGTAATAGGTGGATGTCTATGATCTGTAGGCAAAATCTACGAGCAATCGACCGAAGACGAGATTCCGTATCGATTGTAGACATCTCAGAGAGTATGTTCTCGGTGTGTTGCCTCGGGGTCACGGAAGGCTGAGAGGTCTCGGTGCATCAGCCGCCTACGCGGGTTTTTACCGCGAAGAGTATGTACTTACGCGCTGACTGCTCGCAATCATGGCATAGTAAGGCATTATGAGCGCGTGCGATGAATGACATCCTGTCAGCGCCGGGGATCGGAAGCATGGGATCGATCGCCGGAGAATGATCAGAGACCACGAGTCCGCCTTGGTCTCTCTGGGTGGTCTCATGAGTGACAAGAAGTCCCGCTTGAATGAGAAAACCCTCCCCCTTCCAAATCGATGCGTCTCCATGTAAGGGCGGTCGATGCCGCGTCTTTTCGGTGCGCAGACCAGCTCGGTCATAGGTGTGTATCTATAAGCCGTGGGAATCAGGGAGGAGGGTTCACGAGCTTTAATTTTGATGGTTTATAATTATCCATACGCATTTGTTAAGGCGGAACGTATTTCGGAGACTTCGATGATGCTTCCGATTTCGACGAGTCGTTCCGGACATGCCGGTTCCATTCCCTTGCTGAAGCCGGGGAATCTTATTGTGGGACACATTGAGAAACAGCCATGAGGAATTCCATTCAGCGCGCTGATATGAACACCGTCTTTTCAAAAGTTCCGCAGAGTGTCGTTCAGTAATTGTTTCTGTTTATCGAATCGAGCCATGATCCGATAGTCGAACTGGAGCAGGATGGCCATACAAGTTATGATCGTTCCAAAGTAAGCAATCACCGTGCTCCGTTTGTTCGGGAAACAACTCGAGATCGTGAGCGCGTCGCGAATCTCATCGTAGGCCATGATCCTGAAGAAAATGTCCGCCTCCTCTTTCTCGTACGGATTTTTGAATTTCAAAGAGAGTATCTCGAACTCGGTACGCTTGCACAGGTTTATTATTTCGCTTCCTCTTGACGCAATGTACAGCAGCGAGAGGATCTTCAGCAATGGCGGCAAGCCATCGAACCAAACGTCCTGCCACGTGCAGTTTAGCAGTAATTTCACCAGAGCTGTGTAGATCGAGGCGAATATGCTGACGTACAACAAGAGCAGAATTCTGCTGAAGCTCCCGTTCACGAGCTCGATGGCTTGGCGAATGATCTTTTTGTTTTCGACGATCCGCACGAGGGGCGAATCGGGAATCGAATCGGCTAGCATCTGCAGTCTCTTTTCCAGGATGCTTTGCGCTTGAGTGTAAAGGATCATCGAAAGCAGGGGAGCTTGTAAGATGAATGGGATAAGAATTTTCGAGATGCAAGCGATCGCGAGGCTCAGCTCGCTCATCGATCCGCACTCGACGAGGCTTCCACTTTGGAACCGCCGGAACAAGCGGTCGCCGATCATGAGATTTATCCCGCCGAGGAAGATCAGCAGAATTCTCGGACCGAGCGCCTGATCGTTCCTACGATCGTTGAAGAGCTCCCGAAGAGACGCTTCGTTCACCCACAGAGTTCGCGTTGCCTCGAGCACGACGCAGAAGGTATTAAAAATGCTGCATGTGAAAAATAGCTCGCTGGCGCTAGGTGTTCCCCTCAGGTACTTGTCACGTTCTTCCAGGAATCTCGCATAGAAGTGCACTCCGATTGCGCCGACCAGGGCGATTCGCAGAAGTCGTTTTAGACACGTTCGGAGGCGAGTCGGTCGCCTTGATCCGCTCGCCAAGTCCACACCGCTCAAAGAGCCAAGCACGTGCAGGGTCTTCAAAGTCAGCCGTTGCGGGAGGGATGGAGGAGCCGGCGGCAAATCATACGTATCGATGGAGGGTGAGCCTGAGGACTTCATCGGGCTCGCGCGGGTATTCCAATTTGAGAGGAGGTAAACCTGCGTTTGTCTGTCGATTAGCCCACAGCTATTCCTCTGGCATGGATGACACGACCTCGGAATGGATCCGCTGGACTCGATCGGCTATGGAAGTCATGAGTTGAAGAGCGAAGCCGCTTGGCGAACAAAGCGCCTCGAGATCGATCTCTCGAGCGTGCGTTGTGAGATCGAAAGTTCCCTGCGGATCGATGGTGAGTGATTCTTATCCTCACTCCGTAGGTATGGGACAGCCTACGGACCGCGCCGGGGCTTGCAGAGGTCCAGCGATCGCGCTGCACTGCTCGAGCGAGTACATCGGACGTTCGGGCAAGAGTGTTATCCCGTCGTCAGTAACGGGAAGGATTCCAGGGAGGCCAGGGGAAGCCGTTAATAGAATTATAGCTCTATGGCGAGCAGCCCTGCTATAAGCCTCCGCTCGATTTCCTTCCTGGCCTGCACTAATGGCAGCAGGCTGCTAACAATAAGCTGAAAGTTCACGCCAATCGATGCTGAAAGCGCCATCGTAGTCGACCTTGAACCTCGCCACAGATTACACTCGCATGTATTTCTCAACGCGAGAACATTAGGTCGTCTTCCGATGTCGAGGAGCGCAGCTCGGTCAAACTGCGCTCAAACCATTGGCTACGAGCAGGTACTTGACTACCTCTCCATAATTCGATTTCCCGGAAGGCATCCGATTCATCTTCCGGCTAAACCTGGCGGGTCTGATTCGAATCTCACAAGTTCTGAGCTCTCTTGATCAGATCGGCGATAGAGCAATCGGATGCCAACGGCGGCGTATCGGATCGAGATAGGAGTTCCGAAAGTGTCGGCTTTCGGAAGAGAGAGGGAGCCGATAAGGACTTGTTTTGAAGGGGGCAGAGGGCTCGCTAGAGGATCAGGTCGCACAGCGTGAATATTCGTGGAGCGTTTGGTAAAAACAGTCTAACTGGGAGGCATGACCTCAATCCTGAGAAGAGTTTGGCTGGAAGTAAGAAGAACTCAGTAAAAATGGGTCATGGCGCCTCCGCGGCTCGCGCCAAAGATAATGCAATCTCGACGTGTTGCTGGCCGCTCGGCGAGTGCTGTCTCAATAGCTTTTGTACGAGCGCACGAGTTTTCCCGCCCGCCCGTCAGTCACTCATGTTCTCTCTCTATTTTCTACAGAGTCCATGTGAATTGGTCACTGCGTTTGTTTTGGCGTCGACTTCGTCCATTCGATTCGATTGCGAGAGCTTGCGAACGGTGAAGTCGAGCTCGATGGAGAAGAAATAGGTGGAAGTGAAATCCCCCAATTCCGCCAAGTTCATCGGAGCACCAAAGGATGAGGAGCTTACAAATTCTTCACGTTGGCCGGCGCTTCTGCAGTGGGGCAGCGGCTAGACCTTTCAATGATATCCCGAAAATGTTCAGCCTACCGTATTTCGGGAGCAACTGGATATATTGGCCCGTGGTTGGTAAGCTCCCTGCCGAGACTGTTTCTGTGTCAATATGATTGCTGAATGAACCAGTCGAGCAATAATTTCCTTATGACGAATGGAAACTCCTTCCCGAGGTGGTTACGATCCCGACAAACCTCATCACGTGGCTCGAGACATCCACAGAAAACACGGGGATATCGTGGTCGAGCGTCTGGGAGGACGCTACCCTTTGGTGCATTTATTCAACGCGGACGATTTCGAAGTTCTGTATAAATCTGAAGGTCGAACCCCTTTCCGGGTCGGGAGCGCCGCTTTCAAAAAGTACCGCTCGAGTAGACCGCAATGGTATCATAATATCGGGTACCTGACCATGTGAGTCTCCTCGGCCGCATCCGTCATCATTCCGCACCGGATTCCGTCTCACAGAAGTGCGTTCCAGAATACCACGAGGTATACTCCCGCAGGCAAGGCGAAGAGTGGTACAACTATCGATCGAAAACACAGCCGTACACACTCAAACCACGGACGATAATGTCTTACGTGCCAAGCATGAACGACGTAGCCGATGAAGCGATTCATCTCATTGAAGAATATCAGAATCAATACGGCCTGGGGAACTGGAACTGCCTACGTCTGCTCTACAAATGGTCGCTCGAGAGCGTGCTCTATGTCGCCTTGGACAAACGATTGAATTGCTTGCAAACCGAGCTTGATACAGGCTCCGATGCTGACCGGGTTCTGAAGTCAATGGATGTCATATTTGAATGTCTACAAATATTCGGATATCGGATGCCTCTGTGGAGATATTTCCGAACTCCGAGCTGGAAACGATTCGAGGATTCTATGGACGACTTCACCGAGTGAGTTCCACCACGATATTACGATCGAAGCTGATGGATCCGAAAGAGATGGTCACTCAATTTTCCTACGAAACTCGTTTCTACTCCCCTCCGCAGGGTCATTTTCCGGAATATCAAGGGGGCTCAGAAACAGCCGGACGAGGACAAAGAGATGACCATACTACAACACATGCTCAGCCGAGACGATCTCCTGTACGAAGATATCGTCGCTCTCATGAGTGATTTCCTGCTAGGCGGAGCGGACACGGTGAGTTCATCCAGAGACGGACGATGGTGATGGTTTATTCATAACGCGAAGAAGTTAAGTTTGATAACTGAAGCTGCTCGTTACCATTATGGCTGCCAGACATCGAACACTGCTTCGTTCCTGCTTTACAACATGGCGGTGAACCCGGAAGCTCAAGAAAGGGCTCACGAGGAGGCGAAAAAGCTCATGGTGGGTCGCTCCAGCGACGCAGTGACCGCGAAGGATTTGAATGACATCCCGTACATAAAAGCTTGTCTCAAGGAATCTTTGAGGTAACTCCCTTTTACTCATGAACTCCGATGAATGCTCACCCGTCGTGGGAGAGTGTCGCTCATCGTGCTATCCATTACAGACTATTCCCTTCGATCACCGGAGTGTATCGGAAATTCGATAAAGACGTCGTTTTCTCGGGCTATAACGTTCCTAAGGGTACGGTCGTCTTCGCGGACTTCTACATCACCGGTCGAAACCCCAAATACTTCGAGGAGCCGGAGAAATTCAAACCTGAACGGTGGCTCAAAAAAGGCGAAGGTCATGCCTACGGATCCCTACCCTTCAGCTTCGGACCTAGAATGTGTCTCGGACGACGAGTTGCTGAGCTTGAATTATGGGTGCTCATGATCAAGGTGAGAATCTCTCCTAGTCTTTCGCATTGATTTCCCTTGAACTGATGTCTTGGTGTTCGGCTTGGCGAACCCCTAGCGCCGCTCTCCATATGTGATGCTACGGTACGTGAGGATCATGATCAATTCCGTTCTTACGCAGCTCATGCAGAACTTCCGTCTGGAATATCGTGGGGGAGAGATGGATTTCCGCGGGAAATTGGTCAACACACCGGATCAAGATCTGAAGATCGCCTTCAATCGGAGGACCTAAGTCGCACCGGAGTCAGGAGACTAGAAGGCAGTATTTCGGCGTTCCTCGCCCCGAAAGCGGAGCATAAGCTATCCGGCTCATCGAGGCCTGAACAGAAAGTGGATGGACAGGCAGATAAAGATCTCAGTTTGTATGAAGTAGCTTTGGAGAGCCGCTCCAATAATTGATGGGGTCCGGGCGGAGCACATTTCTCGGCTCCCCTGCGACGGGAACCGATGCGAAACATTCGAATCCCCTTGAGCTGAATGCTCCCGCTCACTCAGTCGATGGGAGAGGAGATGTCGCACCTTCACGGGTTGGCCGGACAGAGCTGGTGGGCACCGACATAATCAATGTTCGCTATGATGATTCAGCATAAAGGAAGCATCACTTTCTCGAGCCTCTAAACTTGCGATCCATTGTTTATTCAATTTTCTGTCAAACGGGTGAAGCTCGACAGCGAAGTCCCGTTTTGAGTTTTAGGAGGCCAGGGTTGGCTTGGAGCTCCACACGGGACTGGGGAAGGTACTCGAAGGTATCGAGTTTGTAGGTCAGGACCATTTTTGCCAGGACGAACTTGACCGCCAGCATAGCCAGATTTTTGCCTGGGAGGGAATCATGGTGTTCATCCATCTAACCTTCGACCTCTCAATCAAGAGCCGATAACGTCCTCGCACAGTCGTACTGTTCATGTACATATACGCATCGAAATCGCTGCACTTGGAATTGAAAGGTCGTCTCACCCAGACAGTGTCGAGGTCCAGCGCCGAATGGAATCCATATGTCGTCGAACTGACTCAGGTCGTCCACGAGGAAGCGGTCGGGGTTGAACCTAGAACGTTATGCAGGGCTCTCAGAAAAGTTCCAGATATGGGAACCGAAGACTCCTGTAGGTCTCGTTACGGGCCAGATAGACCATCGTATGTTTCATATTCCGCCCCGATTCATTCCATGGAGGCCTCGGACTGCCTTCGTCGAGGAAACGAGAAATATCAAATTGAGCCCATGTTTCCATAGACCCCAACCCAAGCATTAGCGACAGAGTGTCCATGATCCAGGAGTGATATGCCCTGTTGGTGGTTTGACCGCGGAGGCGACACCCCGGCGCGGCGCCTGAACCGTCGGTTCCCGTGGAACGAAAGAGCTATCAAAAGAGCTCCGTACAGGGAGTGACGGAGCCAACATCGATTCACCGTCAAAATGAGCCCTGAAGAATTTCCCATGCCAGCTCCGCGTACCTTTCAGGTTCCGGATAGAGCTCCTCAGTGTAGTGCATCTCTCTCGTAGATGCCATCACAGTCAAACCTTCTTGGATGTAGAGGTCGCCGATCTGAACGGGATTCTCGCTCGTGCGACTCGTATACCTGCGACGGAATCGCATCAGATTCGGAACTCATCGGGGACTTTCTTTGTTTCTGGTTCCATCCAGCAACAGCAACTCACATGTAAACGGGAGCGTACATCCTCAAGGTTTCCCGGATGACCGCATCGAGGTAACGGCATTCCTTCAACTTTTGAGGAGTGACCTCCGAACCTCCAGGGAAGGCTTCTTGAAGCTCGGTCCGGAGACGATCTTGAACTTCCGAATACCGGATCAGCATGTTCGTAATGAAACTCAGTGCACCGGAAGTGGTATCGTACCTGGGGGGAGACACCAGGCTGATTGCGCGTCGGAGGCTCTCGTGTCAAAAATTAGTGGTCGATCAAGGTTTTTTGGCGTGAGATCTTTCAGCTCGCGAAGAGGCTTTCTCACCCAGCCAAGACATTCAGGACGGAGTTGTCGATGGCTTGCTTGTCGGTCACCTCGTAGCCCTCGGCCAACATCACGGTTAGGAGATCGTTTCCAGCTGGTTTCTGAAAAAGAATCCAAAGTAGGGGAATGAAGGGAAATGGGCGAATACAAGCACCAGGGAGGGCATTCATCCATCCATCTATCGGAGGGTCGAAGTCATGTGATTGATGATGAGGCTCGCAGACCTTGGAGGATCGTAACATTTTGACTCGTTTCGAGCAGTCCTCATGCATTTCTTGGAGGGGACTTGTTTTCCTAACAGATCCGTGCATGAGCGCGAGCACTTTCCTCCTGACACCCTCAAAGATCAGATTGAGCTGCGGAAGCGAAGCTGGAAGGAGGAAACAGAGTGAGTGGTGGGGGTCTTCGCCCTCGCGGACACCCAGAAAGTTCAATGCTTGACGTGGTCGCCACAATTATTACTGCTACAGTATCAAGATGCTCTTGGATGAGAGCTTTCCAGCTGGACAGACGCTTACTTCTGAAGAGATCCCGCAAACCGAAAGGTGGCTTCATTTTGTTGATGAACCCCAAGAGGCGATTCCGCTGGTCACTCTGAATATCATACGCTAAGCCACAGGTGGTTCTGCAGATCGTATCCAGAGCGAACGCGTCGTAGATCGCGGAGATATCGAACTCCCGGCTCCCTTTCGCGGATTGTTTCTTCACAACTTTCAGGAGCTCATCGACGCAATTCTTCACTTCTGGACTGAACTGTGCGAAAAACATTTTTTTGTTTGTGAGGCGACGCACAATTGAGCGTAGAATCGATCTTAATCCTCCCACATTCGGGAGCATCTCAAAATCTTCGGATTTGGAAGACTTGCTGAGCTCTCGAGTCACTTACTCTGCAGATCCCTTCCTCTGTGTAATGTTTCGATAGCAAGGTTCGGAGTTGCCTCCAATCATCGCCTGAGAGGCATGCGACTGAGTTTGGTACTCCAGGGAAGTTGAAATGAGGCTGGAAGTATATTTCTCAGTCACTCAGATGACTACTGCTCTCCCCATTCGGAATTATCTCAGGCGATCCCGGGACGGCGGCTATTTTTCTTATGTCCCTCCGCGATATGCGGAACTTGGGGCGTTAGTCAGCCATGGAATACTCACAGATCGATTCGTGAAGTTTCGATCATCGTTGAAAACTTTCTTGAGTATAATCGGATCCGAGACCAGTAGAACAGGGTTTTTACCATAGAAGAGTCCCACCTGTTGGAGGAGCTTTCGATTCGGGAGTATTCTATAATATTTCGTAGTTGGAGGTTCGATGGATGGCCACGAAAATTCGGATTATACATCTATTCATAACGATAGATAACGATAGATGAATGAACTCAAGAGTGGATCGGATCTGCTTACGACAGGTCCGAACTTCCGATGCCAATCGTTCACTGCCCATAAACTGTTCTTCAAATAAATCTCCAATAAGTTGCCGAATATCAAATTCGGTTCAGGGCCCGGCACCCCTAAATAATGAAAATAGCGGAAGTGCTCTCGGCGTCGCCTGAAAACGAAGACATGACACCAGTACAGCCTTATTGAAAGCGTTGTGACAGAATGCTTGGGCAGAACAATTCTCGGTCCCGAATCAGTCACCTCAGCCACATCCCTAAAAGGATGGACAATGCCGCGAGTAAAATCCGGAGAATCATCCCGGCTCTGGGTTCCTCGCTCAATGAACGAACGCCGCTGATCACGAACACCTGAATGCACTAGGAGTCGATCACGGGGGAGCTATCCGATCCGATAGGTCCGAGGTAGAATCGCATTGATCACAGATCTGCGCTAGAGAATTTCTCCGGGTTTTTAGAACGCCTCGACACGGGAACAACAATAAGTCGTCTAGAGAAAAGACCTGTCTGTTCCCTTCCTCTAGATTTTAATCTTCCACTTGGAGTCCACCGCTGATACCCACTGGAGGCGTAGTGACAGTGTCTAAATGTCGCGCTCTAGATGGGCAGCAGCGAGATTCATTGCCGTACCGCTCCACAAAAGTTATTTCTGGACATACAGTTTTGGATTTTTGGAAAAAAACAGACTCCGCAAGAAAAAGCTGAAAACTACAAACATGCACCGCTCCGAGGCCGGCTCGAGTACGGAGGAGCATGAGGGAGGGTCTAACTCTCAGCGGTATATCGAACCGAAGGTCCGGGACTGCCACTTTGGAGAATTTTCGATCGATACCCCACAGACAATGCCGTCAGATCGCGGTCATCTGTTCGACGGACTTCCGTCCGACCCAAGCGGAGATTCCGATTGAGCCATCTTCCACGGAGCCAGCGATTTCCTCGCCGATAAGGTCCGCGAGGTCTGCATCGATCCGGCCAAATAAGTTCCCTCGGGCTGCGATCTCGAGCTTCTGCTACGGGCGGTGATCGAAAAACTAGACGAGGCAAGAGGTCCACGGTGAGGCTCTGTGTGGGTAGCCCGAGATGCTCCGAATTTCGAGCCTCAAGTCCCCTGACGGTTTTTTTTCTGTCCAGGTCGTTGTTTATCCCATCCATCCGTCTGCTATAGCAGTGAACTCGGGGGTCAGGGGGAGTTTGAATATCTTTCACGAATTTCTTCTGAAATCACTCACAATGCATCGACACCCAGAGCGTACAGGTCCGGAACAGCATCTGTGCCCACGGACCGGGGAATTTTCGGTCTTCAAGAATGGGCTCTCAGAAGGGTTTGAAAACCCGCGTTTCACCTCGAGGCCTCCAGATCAGTTTTTCTGAAGGATAACGAAACGTCTACGAAAGGGATCCGAATGGACACAGAGTTACAACTCACGACTTCAAGAGAGAGCAAGGTGCGTTGTGGGGGCTTTGCAAAAAGGTGATCGGGAGCATCGAAAGCTGTGAAGTCGTGGTCGATATAATTCAGCTGAAGTAGGAAAAAGCCGGACCCCCTTTTGCTCCATCGTTTGTTTCCCAGATGATTGCTCCACCAGATCAGACGAAGCCGGGGGTGAAGCCGGCTGACGGGGGTGGAGATACGGCGCGCACCGACGCCGATGTCAAACAGGTATCACTCCCCCTCCGATTGTGAAAACCATGTTGTGCGAACTTTCAATCGTCTTCAATTGACCCCAGCTTCCCGCCAAGCCGAGAGCATGGGGAAGATTATGAGAGCATTATTTACATGATGATTGCTTTTCCAGCTCCATGTCTCGAAGATTCCCACGGCTGATGATTGTGGTGGATTCGTGTTCGGTCACAACGCAGCCGGTAGTGCGGGAACAATTCCAGCGGGGGACCATAACGAGTGGTCGGCAGGAGACGATGACAAGATCCTGGTCGGGCAGAGACATGATGCGGAGCCAGCGAAGCACCTTGAAACCATCTCCGAGCGGGCAATAGATCAGTGCGAGACTTCGGACGCACACGCTAACCTTTCGATGGACTTTGCGGCTCTCAAAGCGAAGATCGTCGAGCGAGTCAAGGCGATGTCCGATGACGACTCCGACGCGGTGTCCGGGGACGGACTTCCCGTCATGTTGAAGGAGGAATCTGAGGCGATTCGGGAGCGGGGAGGAGCCCGGGCGCCAGAGTGGGACTCGGAAGGAATTTCAGAGAGACAAGGTCATTCTGCCGCCATGTCGGACGAGGGAGAACATCCAAGCGCCATGTCGGACGAGGGAGTGTACCCGGACGCGATGTCGGACGAGGGAGTGGAGCCGGACTTTGCTCCGGAAGAAAATGCAGACCTGGACTCGGAGTCGGAAGAAAACGCAGATTCGGACTCGGGGTCGGAAATGGGGCAGGATCCTTTTTCGGAAGAAGATGCTGAGAGAATGCCCAAGGGAGCTGCGGATACAATTCTGGAGCCTGATGCGCCCACTTTCTTGGAAGAAGACGCTTCCAGCCTTCTGGAGGAGGACGGGCCTACTCTCGTTGAAGAGTTCACGCCACCGATACACGCGCGTTCCGCGCATCCGATTCTCCCGGGAGACGCGGTCGCACTTCCAGACTTCGACTCGTCTCGAGTAGGTCACTACTTCCTTTCTAAATTAAAATTCTGCCGCGGGATCATCGGATGCTCGAACTCATCGCATCCGCCTCATTGATGAATATTATTCATTATCGATCTATTTCCCCGGTAAATCGGAAAAATTTCCCCTCCAAAGCTCACGACAGTGGAACCCCCGGCCGAGACTACCATCGGATCTTCTCCGGCCAACGACGAAGCAGCCATGGGCAATGCAGCATCTCACAGGGTGAGCTAATCAATTTCGGAGTCTAGGAATGAGGACCTTCTTTCACGATTGTCGATGCTCTTCCGCCGAACCGAGACCTCCACCGTTTTCTCTTAAATTCAAGATACGGCGGATTGCTAGACGAGGCAGCTCCTGGATATTGAACTCATCGATCACCGACGAGGAGGGTGCCGCGGTACGGACGGATTTCAACGGCGGGGATTCAGGGGAAGTGAGCGCTCCAGGGCGACGCCTTTCAGTGAGTTTCCGCCGACTATGAAATTGATCGTGAATGAATAGACATGTTCCTACGCTGAATCCTCTCTCCAGTTCGCCGGTCTGTTCTCGCATAGCTCCGCGAACGGCAACAGGTCCATCGGCGGGATGGTGAGCAAAATCTTAAAGCAGCTTATAGAAGTAGAGCTCTACAATACGAGTCTCGCTTTTGATCAAAAACATTTATCGATCTTCCGGAGGGATATTTGAATGGATTTCATGCGATACTTTTTTCTTAGCTGAAAAATTGTCGATGGGGGCGTTTTCCGAGGGGCTCCGCTTCCTTATCGGTGAATATCCTGAGCCTTGAATGAATTTCTCGCTCCTCTGCCGCGCGAGAACCCCCACAGCTCTGGGGAAGGGTCGAGTTTTCCCCATCTGCTGACTGACGAATTCCGTTCTAGCGAGGCGAGGGCTTTCCATTCGGAGCACTCGAGACACCTCCGACCGCTGTCCAGCAGAGGTCCTGCTCCCTAGCAGATATCAACTTCTTCGCACGAGCACAGGGGGCAGGAACATCAAGAACTTTGTCGGCGTCGCGCGAATCGGTTCTTGATCAGGAATCTGAGCGTGAGAGGACCCCAAGTCCGTCCGCGAAGCGAGTTTTATCGCCGATACTGAAGAGGAACCCGTCAGGAGTTCGGATGGGTGTTTCGACACCTTCTACGAGCGAACCGACGTCACCGCCGAGTCACGTGACCCCGGCGAGATCGACAAGGTCCATAGATTCTGAAAACGAGGGAAACGATACAATCCCTGCGGAGGCTCAGAGAATGCTGCCGAGAAGATTCGTGCCATGTGCTGTCCGGGGAGTCGACCACACCCAAGCAAGACAAATCGACAAACAATCCCGGAATCTCATGAGGGACTTCGATTCGCAGGATGACACCGATGACGGGCCCTCGCCGATACCAGCTCCATCGGTACCTGCGGAGAATATCGAACGATTTCCCAGGACGGAGGACTCAAGAGACGAGATTGCCGTTGCCTCCCCAGCAATCAGCAACAGAACTCCCAACAGAATCAGATCTATGGAATTCGTCCGTAACACGCCGAGTCTGAGAGCGGTGTCGAATCCCGGCCGGACTCCGTATCGGGAACGCAGCGGGAGCCAGCAGGGATTTGTGGCGAGGAACGCTCATGAATCTCTCGGAGGATCCCCGTCACGGTATACGCCGCGACGTCTCGAAAAAACTCCAATACATTCGCCAATCAAATCCGCAACCGAATGCGGTCCGACATGTCGCGAGAGGTCTCCGTGCAGAGATCGCCGAGTGCCCTTGGAGGCCGATGGCAGTCCCTTACCATTGAGGTCCATACCTCTTCAAAAGCCCACAGAGAGGTCGTCGAAGAAGAAGGAAACCAACTCACCCGTAGGATCGGGAGCCGGACCGTCAGCCGTAAGAATTTTGGCAAGACGACGTCGAGAGACATCACTGAAGCCGCAGCCTGAATCTCCCGGGGCGGTGACTCCAGAAGGAGCGACCACCGATACGGGCCCGCGCTACCTCGGGTCAGCCAGGCATCCTGCCCCTCGCAGGTCGCCGACGGAGTCACCGCGGAAGTTCCCGCGTAGATCTGCGAGACGCGCGGGAATATTGCCGCCGGGTCAGGATCATAGGAACGTCTCATCTTCCACTCCGGGCCCAACTAGACGTGTCACCTACCTGGACTCAGATGATTCCCAGGTGCTTGAGCCTCCCGCTAAAAGATTGAAGACCGAGCCTGGTCTCAAGAAGCGCTCGAGAGGCAACGTCCGCCCGCGCTCTCATATATGCGGTATGTGCGCTGGGCTCATACGGCGACGCGGGGTGGGGAAGAAATGTGACCGCTGTAAGATATCACTCTGCAATTACTGCTCGTGCTCTTGCAAAACAAGAAGCGCCCAGGCCAGAGCTCTCAGACTGCGTCAAAGGCTCCAGAGGATGGCCGTGTCCGGGTCGAGGAAGGTCATTCCGAGTCAGGTAAAGCGTCTTAAGCCTAAATATCGCATCGATAGAACTCTCCTAATAATTCAAATAAGTCATTGAAGAATCTGACGGGCCTTCGTCGGGCCTTCCGTGATTCGTCGAATTCGCCAAGTGATGATTATTTTCGTTCCTTGTTCACCAGGAATTCTCGAGAGATCGGTCGTGTCGGCATTGCACGAGACTCCTCTATGCCGACAGCAACGCAACGAGATGCTCTAGGTGTTCGAAACCATTGTGTCAGAAATGCCGATGTGCTTGCGGGGGTACGACGGTTGGGAATCTCTCAAAAGGCTCGGGTCGAAAGTACGGTCACCGCGAGTAGCACAATGTCTCGAAACTACAAGTGGACTTCCGGCAAGCGCGGAACGGTTTGAAAGCACGCCGGGATGGAAATCAGACGAAAGACTCCGCTGAACGCTACATTATGAACATGACTTTGAATCTTCCAAACACAGGAATTAGTTAAGGAAATAAACCTCGCAAAACCCTCTTCCAATGACTCGCGTTCTTGTCGGGCAACCACGCCTATCACGAAGCGGTGATTCCTCGGGCGTCCGCTGGACGGCTCCACCAACTTCCGTCGTGAAGGTACCTCGTCCCTCACGCTCAGAGCTCCGCAGCACAACTCATCGACAATAATATTCGGAAGATTATTACCCGTGCTCTGTTGCCGCACCATGATCGCGTCTTGGAAACATTCAAGCTTATTTCGCCACTTGCGGTACCCATTGATCGATGATATTCATTGGAATCTCGATTTATCACGACGGCCAGACACTGCCCAGGACTGTCCCAGGCGTAATTCGGGATCGGTTTCATCACCGGACCGTCGGGGGCGGGGTTCTGAGCATTCATCAATCGATCCGAGTGGAGAGCGTTCTTCGCGCAAGCTGATATCGAGTGGCTCGCCGAAGACCTCTTGACGTGTTCGCGGTATGTTTGACGACTTGCTGGTCACATCTGCGTCGCGTCAGTTGGAAGAACCTCCAGATCGCTAGCGTCGAACGGCTGATCGCTTCTCCTCAGCGGTGTCAGATGTCGTCTCGATATGTACTCATTCATAGCCGGGAGGGTCGGCATTGCACGCTCGACCGATTATCCATTGATTCTCATCATGAGCTCATTCCCACGCTTGTCGCGAAGCCTCGGGCATCACGCTTTCGCTTCTGCCGACAGACGCAGGAGAGCGAGACCTGCGTATTCAATTCTGCCGAAAGGGTTCGGATCGACCTTACTTGGGGACGGGAGGACCCCATCGGAGTTGGTTCATCTGTCACCTAGCTGATGCCCTCAATTTAGCGAATCCGCGCTGTGGAAGCGAGCTCTATTCGCACCCGGATCGCCGGGAGGGCTCTCACCTCTCGACCAGCTCGTCGGTTTTGCGACCGACGATAGGCAGAAAATTGTAACATTTAGGAGTCGGAGTCAGCCTCGATGGGAGGCGGGAAGAGAAGAGAATATCGTCGTGATGAGGCTCGATCCAGTCCACTCGGGTTTGTGATTGGATGCCCCGAGCATGCACGAAGCAGACATCTCGCCTCACTCCGAACGTGGCTGCCCAACACTTTGGGAGACTTCTCCGGAGGAGGCCTTGACCGACGAACATATCTCTAGATGCGTCACGAACGTCTCCCAGACCCCAGCCACCTTACTGGTTACGGGGAATCGAAGCAAAACGATGAGATGAATGTCGCGCCGTGTAGGTGAGGTAGGTCCTTGCAGAATTCCATGGCAACTTCGAATGGTGTAATTCTCCTTTCCGGACGATTTCTTTTTTTCGTCTCGAATCTGCCTCGCAGGAAATGGCGAAACCTCATATCATACAGAAGACGGACACTTCACCAACGAGCATTGGGGTGGCTTTTGTGCGCCATCCCATTCGAAAGCGGAACGCCGGCCGCGTCGGCTCCGTGTTTACAAAACACGAGGATCGCCCGCGCCGTATCTCAAGTTCATCTGCCGCCACTCGCCGGGGAAATCTCGCTTTAATTAATCTGGGCCCGGTTCTTGTCGAGTGGCATACAGATAGTTCACTGTATGTTCATCCTTAGCCCTGGAGCGAACGACTTCCCCGTCTTGCTCCTGGAGACGTTCAACAGGTGAGAGTTCTCGCTTGGATTTCTGTCAGTCTACCTCAATCCCTCAATCGGCATATCCCTGGGAGAGCTCGCGGAGCTCCGCGGGGTCCCCTCCCCTTGTCTCAAGTTTATCTGAAACCCATCCACGGAAGAGAGAGAGCTCTCGAGGCGCGACGGATCTGTTTGTGTTTCCGATCTGCTCTCCGGAAGCGCAATATCGCTGCAGAGTCGTCACGCCGGCAGCTTTCTGGCTTCCCCACAACTGTATATAGCCAACAAGATGAAGCTCTGGATGGAATTGATTGATCCGATCACAATCAAGCAGTCTGATGAATGATTTAGTTGACGCTTCTGATTTACACTTTTTCAGGCTGCTCCCTACTCGCGAATATCGGATCGAATACATCACATGATGGGATTGTCTTGCAGTACAGAGGTGAAGTCCCCTCTCAAGTGCACGTCGATGAACCGCATCGAGTCAACATCCACTCCCCCGGAAGGACAGGAAGAGTCTGAGAACGCGGATGGTGAGCTCTTTCAAGTGTTCCTCTGAGTGAGGCCCACCTCCTTCATTTTCTTTTGTCGTCTCTCGTGGCGGACGCCTGCGCGCCGACGACGCTCGCAGGCCCCGTCCTGGGTCGGTCTGGGAGTCTCGAGCGGAGAGGGAGCTGCAAGTTTGCGGTCGATCGATGCTAATGTCGAAATATCTGATGCATCCACGAAGATACGACTCGAGCCGTCAACCCTTAGCTTATGTGGATGTCTCGGAATCGGAAGCTCAGAGTGTTGCCAGCCACGACTTCTTAATGCGGTGAAAGTCGACCATGAATCTCGGTTCCGACTCTAAAGCTTCATCTGGGCGCCGCCGTCCGCCGACCACCTCCTCACAACTGATTGTGAGTAATGGTAGTTGCCATACTGACTGAGAGTGTACTCTCAGGTGATGTGCCGGTCGCACTCAGCCTCGGAGCATAACATTTTCTTTCCGACGACGCTTCGTGTCGAGATGGCTTTGAATGATTGGTGTCTCCCGGCGATCGTCTAATTCCGTGTCAGTATTGGCCAGATTCTTTCTCGCGGCGTGCCTGAAGGCGTCGGCCTCGGTCAGCTCGTCGAGGCTTGAGCGGTCAGGGTCGCCTTCGGCGAGCGTTGAGACACACTAGCAGAGATATTTGATTCATCTGAGCTCGTAGCATGCAACGTCAATGGGAAGAGCCGAACTCAGAATACGCCGTCTGCGGAAAGTCCCCGCAAAGGAGGAAGTGAATGTGCCAGCATCGTTAATCGCGCTCAAGAGCGACGGTCGTAGTCACGGGTCGAGAGCTCCCATCCGAGGTAGTCTCGCTTCAGAATGATGGAGAACACCTTCATCTGTTGAGGTTCTGAACCTTTGCGTGGAATAGTTGTCTGCTGCACTCTCGCTGGCTCGGCTGCCCACCTCCTCTAGGCGCTCGCTCTAACCCTTTGCGTCACGTCGGGTGACTCGACCTCCCACTGTCGCTGAAGGCCAATCAGTATCTACAGCATTGAAGAGCATTTAAACATTGAGCTTCGATCGCATCTCGGCTCCGAATAATAGACAAAGAAGGAAGCCTAGAAAATGTCCGATCGAGCTCTTCCGTCATTGGTTACGTACTCCGGGTGCTTCCTCCGACGACGCTAGATCGATATTCTCGACAAGCCGCGGATCTCGCAGACACCGAACCCACTCCAATCCGATTTCAACCGCCCAGTTCACAATGGTTGGCTTAACGAGGCTCCGGTATTTCATTGAAAGGCGTTCAAGGACCGAAAAACACCCAAGAAGTTTGGATGTAGGCCACGAGACTCTGTGACCCTGAATATCTGCAGGCCTTGCTGCTCAGGATTATTCGTGAAATGAGCTTGTTCAAGCGATCGGGTTTTCGCTGTTGCTCACAGCAATGGCTTGTAAACATTTTGTTGGCATACGAAAATTATCACAATACTGTATGGATGCTTTTCGAACAGCGCCGGATATCTTTGGATTCGCCTTGCTGTTTGAGGGCAAGGCGAGAGGCATCCGAATCAGTGAAATTCGAATCCTTCATCCGGGTCAACTTGAAATTTTCTCGATAGTTGTCTGCGCCCGAGGATTGACGGGGAAATGACGGAACAGGGGAACGAACTTCCCCGGTCGAGTGTGGCGATCATTTCCACTCCGGGGAAAAAACGACCGTGAAGTGAATGATGGTCTTTATTTTCGGTGGCACTCCTTGAAAGCGTATACACTGAAGAAAGCTTTCGTTTCTGCTAGAGTTCTTTGCACGGTTGTGACGGCGGAGGTTGACTCATGCTTGTTTTGAGCGAGAGACCGTCTTGAAGACTCTCCGTGTCTTGACGAAAGAACTGCCGCCGTTCTCCGAGGCTCGCTAGTCTCAAGACGCTCGCAGGGCTGGAGTGTTTTATTAGTTGATGTACCTTGTGTACGATCTAATAGCGAGTGCGATAGTGCACGATTGGACATTTGATAGGAAGACTGCCAGTGATCCCGGTTCGGAATGAGTTACCGAAAGTACTCATCCGTCGGAAGCACGGACCACATGGCTAAATACCAGCGGAGAACGTCTGTGAACGCGACGACAGGTATGCGTTTCTGAGTCTCGGCTCTATGAGTTCTTCAAAGAACTCTCATATCATCATTCACCGTCGCTTTCGTGATTGATACGAGCTAATGAGTACGTGGCGCGCAGACGATTCGCTTGGATGAGGCTCGTTGCGTCGAATGCCTACGAAGTCTTTCGGAGCTTGCAATATCAACGCCTCAAACAGTCGAAAGCGTGGTGCATTAGACAGGGGGGGGAGAAGAGGGCGTTCTACTCGTTGACGTAGAATTTCGGTCACCCCCTAGATCGGGGTCCCGTCAGGTCCACTATCAAGTTTCCTGCGGGGATTCCCGACAGAGACTCCGCAAGGGAAGGTTCACACCCGCCTGCCGGCGAAATCTCCGAGTACAGACCCCGATCATAAAGGATACAAATCCTTCATTAGTCCGACCCTGGGTGCCACTTCCCATCGGGGATCCTCGAGACTCCGAGCTTTTGTTCAATTGGAATCTGCGAGGAACGCCATCGAAAGGTTTTCACTCAGGGGCAGTCATCGCCCGAAGCAGTAACTGCTTTCATTCATCGAGTTACCTGCTCGTGAAGCCGGTGCAGAGATTTTTTACTCAGGTGGCCACTGGGAATCTGGGCTATTCTCACTCTTGAATCGCCATGCGACCTGGAATTTCGTACATCGTACGGTCTCTGGTCTCCCACGGTTGCAGCAACGACAGTGTCGGGCGCGTAGACGGCCCTAATTTCGTTTCCGACAGAGACTCCTTCCCGCTTCCGTCCCTGACTGCCAGCGGAAGCAGTCTCGCGGAGGTCTCCGAATACCCGATCACTGAGAATCAGCCGTGCATTCGAAGAGTTCGGGGTGTAGAGGGTTAGTTTTTCTTGTGGTCGCGGTCCTGAGAGCCTCGGAGCCCATCGCTTCCGGGTGGAATTCTCCTGACCCATTTATCCTCATCTTTTTCCGAGCGAATTTTTTTCTCGAACTCCTCAGCCATCCAATTGAGAGCGTAGCCTCTCTACCACAGTGAAGTTCCATGCTCGATCCTCGATGAAATTCCACAATGGAAGACAGATGGGCGATGGCGTGGGTTGAGGGAGGAGGAATCCAGTGGGATAGACTGGGCGATAGCCGAGAATCTGACCTCAACCGCGAGTGACTACGAGACGCTGTAATCTTCACATCGATACAAGGTCATTTATGATCAGACGTACGCAGTCCGGTCTGTGTGAGCAGTCCATACCATAGGTCGATCTCGATAGGTGACAAGTCTGACGACAGAATAGGCGTCGAGGCAAGAGTTATTTCTGACTGAGAGTCTCTTCATTCTGGCAATCCGTCGCTGGCTGGCGATGCGAGCGTACTGTGCTAGAACGACCACCCAGGACGTGCGATGAAACATTAATGTCATCATTATACATCGATGCAGCTCAAGATGTACCCGCGATTGCCCTCTAAAGACACAGGAACGAAATATCCGCATTGTTCTTCCCAAATGCGCTGTACGCGGTGTGCCAGAGCGAGGTGGTTCGCTCGGCTCTGAGGTGCATGACCGGTGACAGAATGCGCTCACCTCACAAGATTTCGGACACTCATGCGATAGGCAATGATGTGGTCGTTGAATTTCGTTCGCTAGAATACAATGAGTTTGTTCCTTGCGCTAGCCGTCAACATCCATGATGATTAAATGATTGAACATTTTTCCATTGCAGTGATCGATCTGATCAAGCTCTCAGAGGGTGACAGCGCGGACTTCGACAAGTTTTCAGCGAGAATCGCTACTTTTTTCAATGACGAAGGCGTTGTAAGTGTCCGTCGTTGAAAAATATTGGTCGTCCCATGTTGTCGAGCCTCCTAATGGAAATTGAGCCGGTCATTCTCTTTATCCCGGTCCAATGATATCGATATGCGAGACGAAAGGAGACTCTGATCGTAATCCGTTCCGAAATTTTCCAGAATCACCATTGGCTCTCGAAACCTCAATCGCTATCTCCGCCCAATTGTGCGATATTCGGATGGAGACTGACTTCCTGTAACATGCTCACTTGCGAATTGTGTGGTGCTAAACTCTATGCCGAAGTCAGCGCAAAACTTCCCCCTCATACTGGTGAGTTTTTGGCACATCGAAACTTCCAATCGCGGCATAGGGTCATAAATTGGCTGGGGAGCTTCTATTGTCCGATGCTCCGTACGAGGATGATGCTTCTGCTTGTGATGGTCGAACTCCTGCCTTGAGAATCTCCTAACCGATGGAATCATAGCTGTCGTCGAGTCTTCTTGAATTGGAATGAAATTCTCTTTTTCCAGCGCGCAAGTGTTTGAAAGAACTCGAGAGGAACCTGAGGTCAGGTCATACGAAAGGTTGCACTTACCGTTTCGCGCCTTCTCCCGAGGAGTTCAAATTCGTGTCCTCGAAAGCCGCTTCGACTTTGATAGAGGAATTTCAGAAACGTCTGCAATCTCTAAAAGTACGTTGCATATTTGGATTACGCCCGCAAAACCGAGGTGAAACATTTGCGCTCGGGTAGGGCAGGTGTTTCATGATACTGTTCCTTTATTCGCTAGGTTCTCGCAGACGATCTTCCGAGCGTGACCCTGGACGAGTTCGAATATCTTGACCAGGTGAAGCGTGATAGCGATCTCAAGGTTTGTTTGTTTGACACTTTTTTGAGCTATTCCGCTTCCTGTTCGAACGAGTGTCTAATATAACAATCTTCTTGATTATTCTCAGGACACACCAAGCGAGCTGGTTATTCTCGCTTTAATGGGATGGGAGCATCACTCCACGGCTTACAATAAATTTGTTTTCATCCGATGTGGATATTGCTTCCGCAAAGTCTGCACCATGTTCTACCGTAAACTGACGAGGTTCGCAGCTCCGTCCCCATGCTTCCCAAGTCAGGCCATAAATATATTCGATTTCCTTGAAGGCTGATACTCGCCTCTCCTCCCAGAGCATTCTGACAGCTCTCATCGGTCTCCGTATTTCTTTTTTCCCCGAGGAAGGACTGATTTTTTTCCCTAAATGACTCAACAGGGAGGAAGAGCTCCTGGTCGAAGAAGCTGAACAACGCATGCGTGAGGAGAGCAAGGATTCCTCCCCGAACAGTTCGAATCCTGAGGAAACCCAGACTGTCCCCGGTTCCACTGAGCGGAAGCGCAGGGGCTCCAAGGATATTCTGGAAACGAAGCTGACGTCGTCCAAGAAAAAGAGGAAACCGCAGGATCAGCTCAATCCCGCTTTCGAGCATCGATCTTGGTGTGCTTGGATATCCAAACCGAGCCACGACTCGCCAGTGGGCTGGAAAGTTCTCCTCCAGCTGCTCATTTCGCACAACGAGCGCATCCAGAGTAGCAGATCGCCGCAGAAAGGTACACACATACATCGAGTTAAGAATATTTTAGTCCCGGGCACGTGATCCTCAGAACACCCCGATATCAGGTCCTAGATTCCTATACCGCGCCGCTGATCCAGGGCGTCTCAACGAGGGCGTCCTTACAGTGTCTCACGAAGCCGCCATCGATGCAGCCGATAAGGCAGTGGAGAATATTCGTCGGAAAAGCGATCATTGGAAAGGTCGTATCCTACAGGGCGATAAGGACCAACTCATCGAGCCCGTCAGATCATCCAACCAGGAAACTTCTGTTGTGAGCAGCCCATCATCCTGAGATCGATTGTCCTAATCTTATTGTAAAAAGAACTCGGACGACGGGAGAGGAGACGTGTACATTCGAAGTGTTTGTATCTTGTGGGAGCTCTCGGATCAGGATATATGTAGATGTACATTTAGATATGTGGAGCGTTAAACTGATCTCGGCGGAGCCTTGTCCAGGGGAGTTCGTCCTCACTGGTTTCAGATTTACATATGCGGAAATAAAATTGTGCGATTCGGGAGTACCGAAGGAATATTTTGTGAGACGAGCGATTCTCGATATAGGGGGAAAGGGTGTTGGGGTCGTAATCGGTGGTCATTCACGGGAGCAGCTATTTCTACGACGCATATATAACAGCACAATAGAGTTTATTGTGATAGTAGTTGATAGATCGGAATCTCTACTCCTGCTCCATCCCGAAAGGATTGTAGCTTGCAACGCATCGTGCGTGTCGAAGGAATCGATCGAACGAGCACTGTCTCCGATTGAGCTTCAGGGAAACTGATCGGTTCCCGGTTGATGACCGCATATCCGTGATTGGACATATATCTCCGAATGAATGATGATCATAGGATGGGTGTTTGATACATGAGAATAGTTACAAAGTAGATACAGGGAATTTACATCGTTTTCAGATGATTTTCTCCCACGCTCTTTTTTCTCCTCTCTGTTGAAGCTCCCTCCCGCACATCATTCCGCTTACGGGATATTGCTCCCTTTTGTTCGCTACGATACTCAAGCACCGCTCTGGCATTGTGAACTGAGAGTTTTCACATCGTCCAATGGCGCTTATCAAGTAGAACATCGACTCACTCGGTTCGAGCTCGCCGGCCGTAAACATAAATAACTTATTACAAGAATTAACACGCGAGATTTCTTTGAGCGAAAATACTGAGCCTCTCCCTAAGCTCACCGAGAATCCTCCCCATAGGGGCAGTCGACGATGGGAATCAATAGGAATGGGGTCGGAATTCGACGAAGTTGAGCGTCAGATATGATCATTTGAAAAGAGCCGCTTCGAGGATATTTTTCTCGGTCGTGTAAAGTTGCTTAGTGACGAGATACTGCCGAACTGTTTTGAAGAGATTGGACGATCCCGCCAGTAGGAGCAAGATCGCCACTAGACTATTGTGCCAGTACCTGGCTGTGATCACCATCCAGAGCTGAGTGCTGACTTGGAGAATAACTAATATCAACAAGACCCGGGTCAACTGTTGAGGATGCGAGAATAGAGCGTACAACCTCAAGTGTGAGACATTACCCGGCTCGGCTGCATTACAAATTCCTTCGGCACGGAAATACTCCTTATTCCTCACCTGCAATACATTAAGCGGTTGCATAGTCGCTGAAAGATACGTCTGTGGCTCTAGGACGGAATGCGGGAGAAAATTTCAGCGCGATCACAAACCTTGACTAGATTGTTTTGCGGCCAAAAGCAATGGTCCGACCAGATATGGTGAGGAGCATGCCGAGGTTCAACTTTCTGCCATTTCCCCAGGTGGAGGGCGCATCTGACGGGAGGATAATTATTAGTGATGATGGTTCTTTGACACTAATAGTTCGAAGCAGTACATATGAAAAGGCGAATTACGGCTGTTGCGGAAGATCTCCGGATTGCTGCTCACCTGTGGACCGAGTCGACATAATCGGGATTGAAATGAAAGTTAGCAAACAATGACAGGGCGCCTAGCCACGTCGCCCACCCATGGGCGAAGAGGGAGAAGAAGTCTACATGTAGATGCAACGACATCAAAACGCACGGTTCGAATGACGCGTAGTAGTAAACCAGCAATGAGTCGAAGAGGATTATTTTTAATCTGCGGAGGAAAATCGAACCGTCTCTTTCATAACAGCCGTGAGAGGTCTACCCTGAGGAACCCGTCTCGGTGGCGGACGAGACAAGAGCAACATGAACGAGATCTCACCTGGCGTTGAAGTCTGCTTTGAACATTGCGGCTTCGCCTCTGATATCGCTTGCTTTAGCAGAGAAACAACATAGGTGATCAGGAGGGTACTCGGTCCATCCAGTGGCTGACATTAGGGGCACAATTGTCGCTCCAAAAACCCCCCAGTATATCACGACGGGGTAAAGCAAAAAAGCCAACGAGAGCGTGCCATATGATCGACAGATCTGGAACCGGAAAGAAAAAAGATCGAACGAGATCGAGTGAGCGTGTACCGCTTTTCGAATTCGGAGACGAGACTCCAGGGGAACGCACTCGGCACAAGCCTCATCCGACGGCATCACAGGGCTGAGCTAGTATTGTAGATTCGAGCGAAATTCAGGCGGCATCAAGTCCGCAAACGACATCATTCTCGCGCCGTAAAGGATTGATCGTACCTGGAGCGCGCAGTACGAAATGATTGGGAAGAAGAAGATGATGGCTGAGTGTCTCGCTCTCAATCTCGGGAGAATAGCGCAAGGAAGTCTCCTACAGAGGATGGTCATAATGAAAATGGCCGTATGTCGATCGATGAGGTGATAGTTGATGGCTTGTTTCTGATTTGACATCGGAAGCCACCACACGCTGTGATAGAGGTTGACATATTGCGCTGAAAGGAACAGATGATTCGTTCGTTTCAGTCGTCTGGGTCCGGAGGAAAGCAGTGCTCATCGCTGGAGAGCGCGGAGCCAAACCTCCGTGAGTTTCCGATATCGGAGGTCTATGCGTTCGATAGTGAGTTCTGAGCTAGCTTCGAAACGGCACCCCAATCTGTACGACGCCCACTCTGATCATTCCTCATCGTTCACTCCGTCAAGAAGAGGCAAGGTGGCGCCGTCTCATTGAGTGTCATATACGAGCTCCCGGAGTAGATCGTATCTGACTGAGAACTTCGAGGGATATTCCGACTTCCCCCTGGCCGTACATACCCGCTAAGCAAGTGAGTGAGAATATGCAAACCGACATCTGGAAAGTGAGAGTGCTCGGGATCTCGATCGCGGGTCTTCTCATGTGACGTGGGGTCGGCGGCGCCCCCGGAGGCTCTTCACTCTTGCAAGATACTTGCAGGCGCCTGGCCCCCGCACGAGCCATCCCGCCGGAGTGCCGGATCCGCACGGCTTCAGCTTGGTCGCCCTGAGTCTGCCGCACGCCGCGATTCCAGCAAGAGAATAACGACTCGTTCCCGACAATTCTTCGGTCGAAACATTCACGAAGCAAACGCTCTGCAAAAATGAAAACAAATCCGGCAATGGTGGAGCGGTTGTCCACCAAAGCACTCCGAAACTTCCATCAACTTAAAGGCCTCCGCCTCAAATCAGCTGATGGTAGACTCGCTAAATGTTCGAGAGCTGAAAGCCCAGCGGCGGCAAGCTCTCCTCCGCTTGCCTCTCCAGCAGCAGCAGTGCACGCGCTAAGAGACATGCTCAGCCTCCGCCGCTTCCGGCTGCCAGTGTACGCGCGAAAATTCGAATTCCAGAGCTGATGAGTCGTCATTCGCCATCCTTGCTGCGTGAGAGACGCTACTCAAAGCGTCCCGGAGATCGTCGGACTAAAAACCCGGAAATCATCGGAATTCTGACTCTTGCGCGCGCTACACTACGCGAACCTCCGGCGATCTTCGGGGATACTAACCCGAAAAACACCGGTGTTCCATCTACAGATCACAGAAACAAGAATCAACTCAGAGATTCGACAGCTTGACAGAGCCACCTCACACTTTTCCTCCTTGTACCTGGAAAACCTCGGCGCCCCCGCGGGTTGAGAGCTGAGAATCGCTGACCCGCGACGCCTATCCTGGTATTCGCGACGATCAGGTCGGAACCGCCTAGGAATGCCGACCACGGGCCATATAAAGTTGAGCGTGAAAAACGTGAAAAAACCTCCTTAAGTCCAGTCGAGCGATGATAGAAGCTCAAACTCCGATATCTATCCAAGTCTAACTTGGAGAGATTTTCTTTCAGAAATCGGGTTATCAATGATCCCTGCGGCCCGCGCACGTTTTCGGACAGCAAGAGCGGCCCTAGAGACTTCCGAAGCTACCCACCCCTGGTCTAGACTGTTGACGATTCTCTTTCGGAGGTGTCTGTCCATCGGAAGTTCCTCCTGATCATAGGATGATTTCGACTGCGAGTTTCTGCGAGGATCAGCGTATTCCGATGTGAACCACTCCGAGTGATTCCGCCCGCCGATGGAGTTCAGGGCAACGTTCAAATCGGAATGGCGTCAACGTTTGACTGAATTTTTCAGCGACAGCCATCCGAAGGCGGAATATTATTCTTCGAAGAACTTCCTAGCTCGGCGGCGTTATTTTAACCCGATGATGAAATCCTCAAGAACTCCTGTGTCCGGTAGGAAACAAGCCAGCGCAAAATGTTTCGCTCTTCTGACTCTTCTTGGGGACCTTGAAGACCCAACTGATCGCTTCGCAATCGAATAAAGGAGATCTCGTCAGCTCCCGGGGGAGCCACAAAGCTCCGCGGACCAAGGGAATCACTTTGACTGAGATTTCTTGAGCCGGTCGCACGAATTCAGTCCTGCTAGCGAGACTTCGTGCGAGATTCTCTTCTCGCCCAGCGAGGTTAATACACACTATATTCCCGCTTCAATAGCTCCTTCTCTCAACTCGATCTTCACGGGGGACGTGGGAAAGCCATGGCAAACAGCCTCCTAAGGTCCTCCTAAGGGTTGAACCCCAGAGGACCATTCCAATCCGCGTGTTACGCGCTCATTCCCCTTTAGCTTCCCGAATCTACCGGATACGCCTGATGTCGGCGCGGAGGCGTGTTCTCTCAGCCGAGTGTATCTTCAAATTCACGGATCGAGTACCGAAGAAAGAAGGGAATGACATCTGTGTAAGAAATACATTTCGCTCTAATTGATAGCTCTACCGAAAGCTAGAGTTCAACGAATCGCTGACAAAGACAGTATGCGAGGCTCCGCATTCCGGAGCCAGGGTCGATTTTGCGAAAAGTTCTATCCGACTCCCCATGTTAGAGAGAGAGAGCTTCCGTCTCTCATCCTCCACAGGAATCGATGATTGCATGACAGCATGGTCGACTCGGATGGTCGCGAACCTCAATTTTCGAGCGTCCCCGCCTGACCTAGGACTAGATTGTATCATCATAGAATAGGACAGAATATTCATTCACTGATCCGCCATCTGGTGAATTACCTACTTTTGTAATTCATTCCGCCTCGTCCTCTCAAATCTCTCTGATTTGTCTATGGGTCCGCCGACCTGGCGAACTCATCGCCCGTCCCCCCACTATTTTTGCTGACCGCATGAACCGCCCGCCCTCTAGAACGGTGGATAAGTGCATCCATTCGCGCATGCAGACGGGGGGTCCTCTGAATCTTGGTAATTGGTAAGGCGCGCGCTTGTTTTCGAAGTCGAATTCACAGGGCACGAGTCGGAGCCTGGCGCTATCTTCAACTCCGAGAATCAGTACGATGACTCCTGAGATCGCGGAATCTGTCGGAGGATATGCATGCTCTGGCCGATCAACATGTTATTCATGAAGAGGAGCCAGTGGCGATCCACAGCTGAGAGCGATTTCAAATTTACGCGCCAAAACCACTTCGGAGATTAGAATGGAATTTCCGAGAAGATGCGAGGAGATATCTTCGGTCCGGACTGTTATCTAGCAGCAAGATATGCAGGAGAATCTGTAAGTGTCTTTCAGGAAGAGAGTGTCGGGTGTTTTCTGAGACAGAGTTACTCCACTGTTCCAACGCTCCTCGAGGAACCCTCCCCTTTCGGTCGTCGCGAGAGACGACTGTGGTGAGCTGCTGTTGCTGCTGCTGCTACTAGGTCTCGTCGGCGACGTAGCAGCTGTGGCATTGTCAAACGTGAACAATCTCTATTTCTGAGTTGGAAACGGAAGCTCTGCGGTGCCGGACTCATCATGTCTTACGCCTACCTCTTCAAGTACATTATCATCGGTGATACGGGTGAGTTCGGAATCGTGTTCCCGGAGCGATGATGACTCAGGTGGAGTTTGGAAAATTTCGGGCTCGCTCCAATCCCTCGTTCGGGATGGTTATTTCCCTAGAGGTTATTCCATGCTTCGATTTATCGAGCACGGTCTTATTCAGATCGGGGACGGTGACCTCAGGTGGATTTTCCATTCGAAAGCCTCCAACATTCGGTTGCTCCCGCGATTTAATCAATCTGATGTTACGCGAGCTTCGACGCGACAGCTTTCGAAAATCGTGTTTTTCGTGGACGCTCCTCAGTTTACATTCGAGCAGTCAAGTCACAACGAGTCGTTCAGTGAGGTGGTACCTAGCTTGACCTAGTATTCTAAGATCGCCGCAATTGTAAGTTACGGAGTTGTCGCTTTCGGACGCGAAAGTCCCTATCGGAGAAGTGCTTCGTTGCGTACATGATGTTCGTGGCTCTGAATTGCGACGCTCGCGTTACTTCGCACTTTCTGTTTGAGTGAATCATTGGCATCGTTCCTGCGAGCCGAAAATTCTGAAGCTCCCCTGTAGACGGCAGCTTGCGCAAGTGTCAGACTTGGGATTTCGGGTGTCGGGCCGCTCGATTCTCACGACCTTTACGAGTCGCCAGTGAGCGCGGAGGAATCGAATTATCGGATCTCAGGAGTAGGTTCCCAGGCGAGTTTTCGGTTGTGGGGTCTCCCAGTCTCGATTTCGATTTGCGCCATGGTGACGTGATCGAAAGGAAAATCTCGGGATTTCGTTGAATTCCGGATTCTCGGCCGTATGGATTTCTCCCTTGAGCACGACGCATCGATTCTAATTCGTTGAATCGCGATGCTCGAATTCGGTATGTGACTCAAGATGTTCCTAGTCGTCGATGAGACGTGTATGACTGCTGGGACGGGACTTTCATGCAAAGCCAGACGCTGATCGCATGATGCTCGTGATTGCACAACGTGTCAAGAGCCCTCAGGGAGACCTGTTGATGAGCCGTCGGTGTGCGGGAGGTGACCAACTTCTGCCAAAACTCTCTGATATACTAGGTAGTTTTCATAAAACGAGCCTTTTGAACGCGGGAGCATTCGGAGAGGGAGCACTCGAAAGAGCATTGAATTTTTTGCTCATATCCGAGAAGCCTCACTCTGTTTTGGTCGACATGGCGGAAGACTGCCTTTGTGAGCCTCTCTTCTGCCTCGTGATTGAATCCCGTCCGTTTGTTATGAAGCCAGGGTCTGTATGAGAATCGAGCTCGGTGGAGCCGTCGCAAGCTCTCCCTTTGAGAAAATGTGATTGGATCTCCAAGCAATACGATCGCCTCTGGGGCTCGGCGAATAATTTGCTCCCCTATTTAAGCATTCATTCTGAGTAGCGCCTAGGACCGTAAAAAAGGAAGGAAAGCCCTAAACCCCGCGCATTGAGATCACGGGTATGCGATAATTCGTTTCGGTATCTGCGGATTCCATTGATGACATGATCGACGAATGTAATTCCACGGATAGCCGGCTCCGGTACGGATCACGGGGAGGGCAACGATCGTTCTTTGTTTCTGCCACGTCGTTTCCGAGATCTGAATTCATCATTTCGCCTTCTGAGGCGATTTTGACGGTCCGCTGCTCTGCTGAGGGAGCCTCATCTGTCTCCCAGAGCGAGGCCGACCATCTCCTCACTCACGCATCAACATGCGGCGTAGCTTGGTGTTTAATTCCGAATTCGCCGTGCGCTTCAAGAGATCCTGTTCTTATTTTGCCAATCAAATAGAACGCGCGACCTCTGAATTGGGTCGAATGAGAGAACAGTGAAAATGCGCCGTGGAAAGATTCAATGCGGAAATCCCGAATGAATCGATCTCTGTGACGTGAAGTACGCTCCGTGGTTTCCGCAGAAAGTATCCTGGGTTCCGGTAGTGTGCTAGATGAGTTGGGGCTGGAGATACCAGGCCCTTCCTTCTTGTCTCATCTTTCGTGTCGTTCGTCTAATTTCCTAGTTTGGAAAGAATCGTCTTGTTTGTTGCGTCAAGAGACATTATCCGAAAATTAGGTTTAACTGGCTGCTGGACCACATCAATTGTAACTGTGAACTCGATTGCAGGTGTTGGCAAATCATGCCTGCTCCTCCAATTCACCGACAAACGGTTCCAACCTGTCCATGATCTCACAATCGGTAAGACTGAAACACTCATGTCCTTGGATATCCATCTTATATCATTGAGCGCACCTTCGACCGACGGCGCCTTTTGTTTTAGGTGTCGAGTTCGGTGCTCGCATGATCACCATCGAGAAGAAACAGATAAAGCTCCAGATTTGGGATACGGTAAGAGCTGCCCGGCTGCCGTTTTCGCCCATATGGTTCGGCTTTTCAGGAAGACATGACTTAGTGGGGTCTCTCCTCTCACCCGAGGGATCCTAACATTGACCCTACCTACCGTTTTTCAGGCTGGACAGGAAGCCTTCCGCTCGATTACCCGATCTTACTACAGAGGTGCGGCCGGAGCTCTGCTAGTCTACGACATCACACGTAGGGACACCTTTAACCACCTAACCACGTGGCTTGAGGATGCCCGCCAGCACTCTAATTCCAACATGGTCATCATGCTTATCGGAAACAAGAGGTACGCTTCTCCTCCCCCGATTAGATAATGTCATTCGAGATGAATGAATCATCGGACCAATTCGCTCCTCAGGGAGGATCTGGATTGTAATGCTCAAATCCACTTCCGCCAAATGCGTTTGAACATGCATGGATTCTTTTCCAGCGACCTTGAGGGTCGTCGCGAGGTGAAAAAAGAAGAGGGTGAGGCCTTCGCCCAAGAACACGGTCTGGTATTCATGGAGACTTCCGCGAAGACCGCTGACAACGTCGAGGATGCCTTCATCAACACAGCCAAAGAAATCTACGACAAGATTCAGGATGGCGTTTTCGACATAAACAACGAGGTGAGTTAAATCGGACATCTGCGATACCCCACGCGTCCTGCCGTTTTTCTTCTCCCAGTTCCGCTGCTCGGAGCTCGTCAACGCTCAGCCGACAGCGCCTCACCGCCCCTCCTGCTAGAAGAGAAAGAAATTAACTCATCACGGAATGACATTTACAGGCCAACGGGATCAAGATTGGACCCCAACAGGCGAACACCAGCCCGGGCGGTGGCAACCCATCTGGGAACACACAATCCGGCGGATGCTGCTAGATATCCTTCATAATGATTAAAGAGTCGAACAGCGATCGTTGCTAGGGAAGGCTCCCGCCGATGAAAAGACAACCATGCCTATCCTGTTATTTTCTTGTACATTGCCTTGAAATTGTCTGACGACGAACCCGATTCGCAACACAAGCGAAACTGTGGTAAGGCGCATGGAGTTACCGAAGAAAAATGGTCCGCAGAATTTTTTTTTAATTCGCACCCTAAGCAAAAACCATTCGTGGTGAGTCGCGTTCTCGAGAGAAGGGAGGGGAAACTCCCGTCGGCGGTCATCTCCGGGGTTCCGTCAAGGGTCCCGTCAGAGGCACCGTTAGGAAGTCCGTGGGTAGTTCCGTCCTGGGATCCCTCGGGGAAGTGTTCACCTCGGGTGGATTGGCTCGGGCGAATGTTCTCTGTCGTTCCCAATACTTATCCGTTACATCTCTATTTTCAATGAATCTTCGCTGGTCTTCCAAGCGATGTGTTCCGTTGGTTCATTCCCAAGATTCGGTTCCACGTCATGAGAATGAGTCATCCGATTCGTATTGATCGTAGAGTCTCACGTCGGGGGATGATCTCTGCTGCTTTGCAGTTCGAAATCATCAATCACTCGAATCTATTGAGCGGTATATGAAAATGGGGGTCTCCGGGGTCTGCCAGAGTAACTATTCCTGCCCCGGGGGTTATTGACCGGTCCGGTTCCCGATCAAGCTCATTCGGAAGAGGGAGATCGAGTCGATCTCCCGACTAGATTCCTAATTCCATCTACGCGTCCATATGTAACTCGGGGAGGAACCGATGACTTCGCATAACCATCCAGATGCAGAGCGTCGGTCCTGATCCACGAGAGAAATAGAAGCTGTGGTACTCTCGCGGTCCCTTGGTCCGAATTCTCAATATGAAGAAGGAAACTGAGATTGGCTATGTTTCATGTATACTACAGGAAAAAATACAGCTACGATAAGTCGAAAGTGATATCGTGTGAGTGGTGATGGATGAGGCAGGGAGCGATGCTATATTGTCGTGTGAGACGACGGACGACCCGGTATGGGATTTCGCAGAAATTATCGCGGCTAGCACGCACCGGTCACCTGAACCGAAGCGTCTCCCACGCCACGACGCGAAAACGCGACTTCCGTCGGTGGAACGCGGCTGCTTTAGTTCAAGAAGTAGATGCACGTGGTTTTAAGTTCGGCGGAATATTGGATCACAGACGAACTTTCACTCCTAGATTTCACAAATAGGTAATGCTGAGACATTGAATCTGATTCCGAGTGAGGAGTGAAGGAGTTGGGATTTCCGATTTATGTTTCAGTTGCCTCCGATAGACGAATTGAGTTTCGACGAGGCAACAGAATCGTTCGTGGGTAAGTCGGCTCTCCTAAATCGGATGGTTCTGCGGGAGAGAACAACTTTTTGGCAAATTTCATATATCACAAGAATTTGAGAAAAAACGTGGAGCTCCAATCGGAGGGGTAACTTATCTATTATGAGAGATCCCGGGGAATACGATTCCGGTCGGCTGCATTCTCGGAGGGAGTCCAAATAAGACCATATGGTCTCGAAGTGCACCACCTCACCTACATATATGATAGAGAATATAATAAAGAAGCTGCTACGAGAAAATGCAAATCCTCGCTCTCCTGACTCGCACGCGTAGTTCCCGGTGACCCGAATTTCCATGATAAATCGAAATTTTGGGTATTGAGGCGAATCTTGCCAATTGGCCAGCTATTTCCTTTTGGAAATGGAACTCTTCCGATTCGAGTCCCTATACTCTTGAAATGTGCAAAACTCTCGTTCGATTTCTGTTCAACTGTCCTTGCTTGTTTATTTACAGCAGCTCTCTGCCGCTAATATGTACATTCATATGTTCAGCGTGAACGATCGACGCTGATATAGAGATCCAATTGCTTGTACAGAAATATAAACTCACTATCGGTGAAAGTCAGAGGCAACATATATGTATTATGTTAGCGACGGCGTAATCTAATCCATGAGTAAAATGCGGACTTGTCTTCATCAAGAACTCCGGGAGCCGGCTCTGATACTGTACAATGAATCCTTTTCTAGCTTGATCCGAGATTGTCGCTCTCACATGTGGGATTCTCTCCGCATCCTCACATAGTTGCAGTCACACTGGAATCCACTCGAACAGGACTCGCGACCTCGTTCACGTATCCATGATCCATGCCTATTCCCCACCTGGATCAGGAGACGGACCCGAATGATGGCATCACCGACCACAGGTCTCCTCCCGAGATCGACATTCCTTCTTCATCGACTCCAGTTATCGGAAATGTTTCCATAGCCTAAAACCATACACATGGCGGAAAATACATCGGAATATCCTGTACAAGAATCTGTGGAAGAGCGTCGGGTCAACCGAAGCGGGAATCATCAGGGAACGAAGCGGATATCATTCAAGAAGAAGATTTCCAAGTCAGTCAGTGCACGGGTAGGCCCCTATGTACCACGGCTGCCGGTTCGTGTACTCTGGCTCCATCTTGCTTCCGAAGCGATCTCCTCCGATGAACAAATCCGATCCGGCAGGAGCTTTCAGAGTGTCCTCTCCATTCTCATCAAATGTGAGTGTCGCAGAGGTAGTGCAATCCCGGCAAGGTTCGTCTTTTCTTCTTCCCGACGTTGTGCACAGTCGGTTCTACCGTCATCTCGACCGCCGGATCGAAGGATGCCTCGAAACCGAGCTCATTCTGAGGGGGCGAAACGGACGACGAGTTCGAGGTCTGGCCGGAACCGAACAGCCCGGAGAACGAGTGGCGCGTCAGTATGAGGTCAGGCGGCGGCGCTCGTCGCTTCTTCCAGAGCTTTTTACCGTTCCGAGAGCGTGGTGGAGTCTCGTCAAGCGGCGAACTCTGCTCCTGGCTCCGAATAGAAGTGAAGCTGCTCTGGCCGGCCCGTGTGCTCATAGGAGTGCAGCTGAATTGACGGGACGCTGTGGTACTCTCTTGCGATGCCGATGAGATTTCCCCTCTGCATCCTCCTCCCACGCAGCAGTGTCCGCCTGAAAATCCGAAACGGTTCGATAAGTCGGATTGAGGCCAAAGAGAAATCAGATCTTGATGACCTCGTTATGAGGAGTTTCTTTTCCCCAGGAGCTCCGGTAATCCGGGTGAGCCTGCCGCAACTCAGGTCTCAGAAAGCTTCTCGTGGTTCCCATCCCGTAGGAGCCGTGGCGGGTTCCAATGTCGGCGATGACCGTAAGACCGGAACGGGAAGCCCGCGAGATATTCTCCGAGAACAATCGGTCCTCAGGAATGTAATTCCCCTCCCGATCAATGAGACTGATGCTTCCCAATCATACCCAGGCAGTTCGATTTCCAACGGAGCTTCCCGCCGCGGCGCGCCGCCGTAAACTTCGTCTCCGCGTCAGGAACGAATAATTCCTCATCGTCAAGAGGATCGACAGACAGTCGGGAACAAACATCGATAGCGAGCAAGGTGCTGCTCGGCATTCATAGCTCCTAACTCGCGAACCTCTCAGAGGGGAGTGAGGCAGGGAAAGAGCTCCAGTAATGAGCGTCATCGATCCGTTTTCGACCCGCGTCGAGCAGCGGAGCGTTGACAGATTCGACATGGCCGTTCCGCAAAGGAAAGATGAGCACCGCACAACCGGAGCGCAAGAAACCAGCGATCGAAGCTTTTCATGGATTCAGCGACTCCAGGAAAGAGACCGAACTTACAGGGGATGGCCGAGGACCCGATGATGAACGGGAGCTAGTTGAGCCCCACGCGACGAAAGAAACAACAATAAAAAGTCAGAGGTAGACTCTCTCACCCATTCTCCTGTGGTCGTTGGTTGTTGTGGAGTTGGCGGCGCTGCTTCCAGAGCTGGCCCCTCCGAACCGAATGAGACGTCGGATGTGACCTGAATAGTGAGATAATAGGGAGTCTCCTCGGCTTTGCCGCACACCGAACTCGCATGTTCAACATCGAAGAAATTCGAAAATACTAACGCTATATCGTTACCTGGCCCTCCGTGGTTGGGGTTGTTGCCAGAGGATGCGTCTTTGTATTTCGATGCTCTGCTGGTACACAGCCCGTACCGGGCTAACAGAATGAACAAATCCCTACGATACTGTCTCGTAAGAATGGCGTATAGAAAAGGGTTCGCGCACGAGTTCAATGGATAGAAAAACACTAGAAGGATCTTCGATTTCGTCATGTCGATCAACGGGTAGCCCGCGACGGCTGTGAGCCCGAAGAAAGCTATTGGAGCCCAACAAGCGAAGTCCGTGAACACAAGGAGTGCCATTCGCTTGGCAACAGTCGTATCTCGACCTTGAAAAAAAAACGACTCATTTTTTTACTTGCTCGTGCATGTCCGAGTCGAGGGGAGCTGGAGGAGATCTCGACGTTGATGAACGAGCGACATCGCGGAGGGATTAGCCATCTCATGAATTAGGATCAGATCCCGAAACCTGAATATACGCACCGCTATGGTAGTTTGCGATCTGCCGACCCGCGGCCTCTGAATACATGTTTGGGTACGAACCGCCGTAATAATTCGCCATCTGCTGTCCCGCTATGCTGGAGTACATGCGCGCGTAACAAGCGCAGATCAGTATGAAAGCGAGTCCGTTGAAACTCAGCAGTGACGACAGGTACGTAACGTCAACAGTGTTCCTAGAGGGAAAATGCGATCGAGACTTCGGGCGAGGACCGAGTCCGGCGTCGACCTCCTCTGATTACAATCGGGAACTCGTCCCGGGACCAGAGGAGAAATTGAGATCGGAAATTCTCTATAATGTTCTAAGATAGGCAACGGCACGGGTACCTGTTCACCATGGGCAGGCAGATGCTGGTTTTGGAGTAACCACTGACACCTACGAGGGGAAGGGTTGCTACAAGAATCGCGTATCCCCAACCGAACGCCATGATCCTGGCCGCTGTACGGAGCTTGAGTCTCCGGTTGAGATGGATTGAGAAGGTGATGGCATACCATCGTTCCAACGTAATCGTTGTCAACGTGTAAATCGACAGCTCGGAGGCGAATACGGTGAGGAAGCCGGCGACCTTCGTCAAATGAAATAGATGAGACATTGTCGGATAGTCGGGACTGGCAGCAACATCCAGGACCTAGGTGCTGGATGAGTGGCTCGCATCCAGTCAAACTCGATAAGCCAGGATCGAGCGCTTTGGGCATGATGAGCCCTGAACATTATTTACCTTGCATCCAGCTCCGTGTTGCCACTGAATGGCATGATTGAAATAACTTCCTACGGTGGTGACATCTTCAACAGCGATGAGCAATAGGTAAAGACCCATACACAGGTCAGCTAGAGCTAAGTTACACATGAGGAACTTGGAGACAGTCATGCGAAATCTGTAAGAGATCAGTCGGTATGCAAGGGGTGCCGTACCGTTCATTCCCAGGACCGGACGCGTCGCATCGCTTCGCGAAGCTCTTCGATTGTGGGCTGAGTGTCTTTTCCGAAATTCAGTGCGAACCTCGGATGGGCGGCTCTATCTAATTCGCTCTCGTGGTCAGGTTTCTCTCTCGTCGCCACGCTCCTCATCGCGCAATCACGAGTGCCTGGGCGGCAGCTGCTCGTCAGCAGAAAATCACGAACTAACCCTCATCAGGAATGCTCTTTATACTCCCTTCGCACGGGTTGGTGGATCCAGGTCCACATGCGACGAGCGTGGTCGGCACTTTAAGAATGAAATGAAACGTTGCAATCTGCAACTCCGCCTTTCGAGACTCTCGTGTCCTGAACGACGTCGCTTAAAACGCGAGTTACAACTCCGAGCACCTGGTGAATTTCCAAGATGCTCGGTTTTTCCCTACGATCGCACGAAAGCACGAGCCCTGTTTCCGAGGCACCGGATACGCGGGCTCATCCATCGATGAGCCTGCTGCCGCTCATTCATCGGATGATCGAGGCTCGCACGCCACAAGAACCTGCGGTGCGGACGCGCCGGAAATGCGCGAGACTCGCGAACTAATAACCCAATCCATTCCCACGTTGGGAAGTCGTCCATATTCGCTCCGAAGGAACATTGGGCGAGCAATCGAACGACCGACCAACCAACTCGCCAGCCAATCGGTCGGCCGGGTGTATTCGGAACGTCTCCCAACTTCGTTGACCAAAGGCAAACTGTCGCGATTGGACCCGCTCTAGATTGTACATACAACACCACCGTCGCGGATCAGTTCAATTGGCGTGGCGGGCGCACCGGTCGCGATCAGGAAATTGTGTACGAACTGTTAGTGCCACCGTGACTTGCATTAGCTGAACATCTTCATGCCATGTATGTTTGTGTCTTGATCATCGGCCGCATGGCCGACAGGCCCGGCTGGAGATTATAATTTGAGCTTGAACGAAGCACCGAGGTGGATCAGAGCTGGGTCCTAGCCAGCTTCTAATCACTCAAACACTCACCTGGAGCTCATGAGGACAACCATTACGGCGAGGTTGCCGACCACGGCGGCCAGTACGACAAACCACACGGCGACCCGAAGGGATAGGGTGCCCATCACGTCCTCGCAAGGATTGAAAGCGTCGGGCGCGGGAGAACAAGTCACATGGTGCATAGATATCGGTCCGCAGGTGAACTGTGAATGAAGGGGAGATCGGGGATATTTCGAGATTTTGTTTTGCTTGAGTGAGGGACCCAGTCGAAGGCTCGCTCCCGAGAGGAATAGAACATCAACGTTCTGATTGTTTGTCGATCCGAGTCATAGGCGGAGCCCATGGACAATCTGGCCTCAGTCGGGATATCTCCCGCTGAAGAGAGGTATATAGAACGTATATGAAACGATTCGGTTCTCTGGATGAATTTCAGTCGCTTGTGTAGGTTCGCTCATCTGATGCTCCGCGGGAAATTGATGGATTATAGAGGAGGGATGGGATCCTCTGCTTAATCGGTTCACTTCCGAAGAATCGCAATCGATTGGGCTCCACCGATTCGGGCTCCGGATAATCGGATCCGCCGCCAAGAGCGGCCAAATCACCGTCGTCTCTCAATCGCTCACTCGTGGAGTTGCGAAATAGCAGGCGATTCCTCTCCCGGAAGAGAACTATGTCTTCGCGGACGTCGGCACGAAGAGCCCACATCGAAACTCGTCGCTCCATCCTTTGTTTTCTACCCGTTCTGTGGAATTATCTGAACTCCCCGATAAGCAACACTCGAGTAAACCGCAGTTTTCATTTAGGATCCTTGAGAGGAGATTCGCTGAGCAGAAAATTTTCGATCCAACCCTCAGCTTCATGCGCGTGCCGTCGCGACTTCGGTGCCGCGAACGAAAAAATAGCGCGAGAACTCAATTTCCGATCGGAATTAGCGCCATTTCCCCGGTAAGTCTGAAAAGCGGACATTATCTGGAAAACTCCAAGAAGCGGACAATAGTGACGAAAAAGACGTGTCCTCTTTCCTCGCAACTCTTATCATTGAGATTATCCGAACAACAGACGGGGACAAGGTTATTTTGCAAGATTTCTCAGTAATTGGAATTGATCACTGTACGTGGTCAACTACCTAGCGAGAGCATCAGTCTTCTTTACCAACGACCATGTGGTCCCTTATGCAAGTTCTCCTCAGCCAACGATCCCCCTAGCCTCGGCAAAGGTCTTGCCAAGGTCATCCAGACAAATAGAGGGGCTCCGATGAGGCTCGCGACCTCACCGGCTGGCTCGACTCTTCCATATCGAAGGTGCTCGCGGTGAACAGACGGCCATGGCGGCATCCAAGTCACCGTTTGTCACCTCATCGTGAAGTTTGCTGAGTGCTCTCGCGAATCGGCACCGCCTCGAGATGACACTCTGGACTGCTGAGTGAGAGCAGGGAGCTCCGTGAAGGCTTCTGAGCACAAAAAAAGTCATTCGCCGGAAACTGAACTGACTCGAACTCGTTTCCGCGGAGGGCGGAAAACGGAAAAAGTTTTCCAAGTGGAAGTTCCAAATCCTCGACGAAACGTAATCTGCTTAAGAACGATCCCTCCGCTGCAGGAAAAGCCCTCGATTTCAGGTTATACACTCTTGAATCGAGAATTCCGAGTTTTCTTACCACGCTTATATTCGCGTCTGTAATGTTCACGATCGGTCCCACGATGATACCGAAATCATTGGTCGCGTTGCCAGAGGGCAAATTGGGTGATGAGCTAGCTAGCTCCGTCTCCTGGAATCAAAATCGATAGTCTCCTTTCTGTCCCGATAAGACTCATCCCTTTCCGGAGAGACAACAGAAAGAGCGCCGAACTATCCGATACAGACCCCTAACTCGATTTTGTACCCATCAAAGAAGACATAGAAGTCGATTGAACAAAACACAAGCGGAAACGATAGGGACGTATTTGCTGGGAGTCCGTCTGCCGGAATGAGATCAGACTGACTTAATTCTCGACGTAATGAAGTCGGGCGGCATGTCTCCGTACATCACTGTCACGATAGGCTGTCCGATTGCTTACATCCGTATCACCGCAACCGGATATACCACTCACCCGCGTATTGTTGCCGTCAGTGTCGAAGATCCCTGGGAGCCCCTTCTGTTTTTCTGCTAGCGATCATATGGAAAATGAGAATATTCGCGATGAGTTAGTCTGGCATACCTCTTCGCTGGCGCGCGGGCCCCGTATCCAAGGGTTCTAGGAACCCTCGGGAGGCTGCAGGAATCAGCTCCAGCGCGTAATTCGTAATCCTATATCGGGCGTAACCCGAGCATCCCGTTTGGTTTCGGAACTTGTTGAGCAGTTGGTCAAGCAGAAAATAGTGTCCGAATTTAGAAATTGCGACAAAGGTGGGCAGGCTTCCCGATTCGCATATTCTCACCGGGGCCGGATTGTATGTTTCCGAAGGTCGGAGTTTCGGTGGAATGGACGTGAGAAGCGTAGTGCCGAACGTGGGGTTCGACCGAGTGAGCCGACGGGCGACGCTCCAAATGCTCGTGATTCCGTCTTCTCCGTCGATGTGAGTGACGGATATTTTTGGTTGCAATGGTTGGCGAGTCCCAACTTCTTTTAGGAGTCGAGAACCACGAGGAAAATTGTCTCACTAGCCACATCTGAGCCTGTACAAATTGAATAAGTCCCGCCGGATGGTTCGTCACGAAATCTGTGGAAATTCAAAAGATGTTCAGATCGACCCAGGAGCCTTATCCCCAGATTCGCATTGTTTCTCTCTTGGCCGGAAGTCTTCACGCAGATCGCGCAAGAGAGGACCCTAACCATGTGAGCAGCTCCGCGTTAATCTGTCGTGCTCCTCAGGACTGTGAGTTTCCGGAAATTTGAAGGCGCAACAGTGATACGGATAGGTCAAGTGAGCAGTTTTGATGTACCTGTGGAGAAGAAAACAGTGTTCGGAATGGGACATAATCTCAGCAAGGTCATCATTAGAGATCGGCATAGCTATATTCTGCTCACCGAAAATTGTACACCGATGGAAATACGAGGAGCGTGTGAACTTCTCGGAGAGCCAGATCTTCGATATTTTCCAGCCCGTTCGTTGGGAGGGAGGTGATACTCGTTTCAGATAGATCCCTTTGAAGTTTTAATTCATTTGGATAAGTGAGTCAGGATTTGTTTTTATACCAAAGTATTCCGACGGGTGATACAGTGAGCTCATCTAGGGAACGAATTTTTCGGAAACTTCGCCGTCGGTTCGCTGCGATAACAAGGCAGAAGGCCCTAGGCGTCTGTCTAATATCATTCAGGGCACGAAAATAATATTTATCATTTCAATTGCGACAATTATTGTCCAGACCTCGACTCGACGCCCACCCGAGGGCCATCCAAGCAAGGATCACTTCATCATCCCGCATGAGTCTCGTCTGCTATCCGGTAGAAACAACGTGTTCCTCAGGAGAGTAAGCACCGGTGCCGTTCATTTGTCATTTCTGCATTCACGGACTTAGCAGTCGAGTGCAGCACTGCCCGATAGGTCAAGGGGAGCTACCAATCGATAAAGAAAGAGCCCCGCGATGTTCAAAAAGTTCACGGAAAAGGAGAACATATCGGGTGTTTCACAACTCAAGAGTTCCGTCCAGAAAGGAATCCGAACGAAAATTTGTGAACAGTTTCCCTTCATAAATGAAGATTTCCGTGAAGAAATATTGCCGAAAAAAGATCAGTTGAGAATTGTGAAATGTCATGAACACGTCGAAATCCTCATCAACGGCCAGGGAGAGCCGCTGTTCTTCCGACAGCGCGATGGTCAATATTTCCCGACGTTGCGTCTCCTGCACAAGTATCCTTTCATATGTCCATGGTTGCAGGTGAGTCTCTCGCTTTCGGGTTCGAAGCCCGAGGTCTAGCACTCGGAAAATTCTCTACTGTCGGGATTCCTTCAGAATCTCTCATGGAGCTCAATTCCAGGTGGATAAAGGCGCGATCAAGTTCGTCCTGTCAGGAGCCAATATAATGTGTCCAGGTTTGACTTCACCCGGTGCGAAGATGACGCAGAATATCGAGAAAGATACTGTCGTGGCTATCATGGCAGAAGGTCAGTTCCTATTATTACTATTAGCGGGACTTCATCAAAGATTAGGGGCAATTTTTTCGAGGCCCTTAGCTTGGAACGTCACTCGAGCCCCTGTCAGCCCTCTTGCAATATATTCGGGACGCACGACTGGAACGCTCAATCAATTGAAGTCCTGTTTCTCCTTCTACAGGGAAAGAACACGCTCTCGCCGTCGGATTGACATCCATGTCCGTCAAAGACATTTCGGCGATAAACAAGGGAATCGGAGTAGAGAACATGCATTACCTCAATGATGGTCTATGGCAAATGAGACCGGTTAAATGAGAATGTGTACAGATTAAATACTAAAGGGACGTTTCCGAGTACGCAAATATTTTACGGATGATAAAGTATTGAATAAATCATCTAGGTGATTATTTATGTTCTGCAACAAAATGTTTCCTTCGTGCCCCCCTTGGATTACGAGCATTCGGTTTGAGCTAATAATGCTGGTCCGAAGGTGCCAGTGGATTCGAGAGGGGCGTCCGAGCTCCCCGATCGCATACCTTTGAATCGACCGTGCTTTTCTGGAATACTTACAGCGCAGTAATATTCGAAAGGCCTGTGAACGCGTCATCTCCGATGATTTTCAGTTTGCGGTTGTTCCGAATCGAGCTATCGATAGAATCAGGGTGAACGGGGAAGTATTCCTTTCGTCGGTTCGTACCTCGTTCAGATAATGAGCGAGCAACGCATCTTCTCAGCTTTCAGTCAGGCGAACGAAGGATCTCTGCTTATAACAAGGCATACTCACAGGTACGCGATCATGGACGCGTTGAAGGCCCAGTTCTCGATTTTCTCTATGTGGTTGTTATTCAAAACCCTGAATGGAATATGAAACCTATGGCAGCCTTAGTTCCGTTGCGAGTCTTCCCCGTGCAGCACATTGGGCGGAAAGAGGAGCCATGACCGCGAGAGACTCGATCTGCCCGTGGCAATTATTACAGAGACTGTGATAAATCACTGGATGGCTTCTCGGAACTCGTTTCGAGTCAGAGGGTATCGTTGACGATCCTTACAGGAAACGGAATGGGCTACAGTGGTGATATAAATGGGGCAATACTACTCACAAATGTGCGGTTTTGACCTGACGAAAACTGCCCTCGCCGATTATATCGATGCGATTGCTCTCCAGATCTCTGGAATGAATGGCGAGATGACAGACTTTCAAGACTTGTCCGAAGACTTCCATCTACAATCACGACTCGACGAATCAAAAAAGCGCACCGAGCCCCTGAGCGAGCGGTCTAAATATTCTCCAGACCCGAGAACCAGTTAGACTTCCAAGGCGAAGGAATCCGCGCGATTCTTTCCTAAGAGTTATCTCAATCACGATCAGCTCGCCGCCGCCAAGCGACTCTACAGGGAGAACCACCAGACGGCGGCGAGCGATTCCCAACTTCAGATCAAGTTGAGTCCTGTGTAATCGACCCCGAAGTGTTCCGTCTATTTGATGCGCAGCGCACGTCAGAACCATTCGGAACAGACTCACACGTTGGCTCCGGAGGCTCCACTTCTCCTTCCAAGGGCGAACACGATGGTCCTTTCTCCCCCCTCCCCCGGGAGCCTCGGAGACGCTGGTCAATCGGAGAGCGTTTCTGCCCGAGAGCAGCCGGGAAAAACTTTCCCATCTGAGGAGCCTTGAGCCCTTCCTCCCCGCATTAGATTGGAGGCGAACGCATTCCTCCCCACAAAAACGTCATCACGCCCAGATGACGTACGTCCCCTCTAAGGAAACAACAGCGTTCAAGTTCACGGCGGAAATACTGTGAAGAGTGCCGCAGCTCAGACAATTGAAGTCCTTCCGAGTGAGTTTCCACGACCGAATCACCTGTACGAGGCGTGTCTGGCGCATGAAACACACGCGGCGGTTTCCGACCAGGCGGACGGCTATAGTTGATCCGCAAATCCCATTTCCAACGACGTTGAGCAAACCCTGCATGATTTCGACTCGAGAGAATTTCGCAAGGCGGTCTGAAACTGGCCGACGACACTTACATCATGTTGATGAAAGTCAGCGGCTCCACAGCACTCAGAAACGGAACTCTCAAGAGTCCTGAGTGCGTTATCCTCCTGCAGACAGAGGTCGAGTGATTTCCTTCCGACTTTTCAATCCAATTCTCTATTAATCTGGCCGTAACGAAGAACTTGCTGAGGCAGACTTCGGAGCGCACTATATTTGCGCAGAGAAATTCTCGTCGTCTCTTCCGTCTCTACTCTCGTCTAGACTCCACTGATGAGTGATGATCACTTACAGTGTGCTCAGTCGCTGAAGGTTCTCGAGAACACCAGGCCCGATGAAGCGGAGCATAGGAATTTTCTGAATCGTTCTGAAACGGGGAGAAAATGGTCCACGTTAGAGGAAAAGACGTATTCCAACGTGACTCCCTTGCAAGGATACGGACAATCGTTTGCCGAACTGCGAGAGACGGAGCCGACCAGAGACTGAAAAGCGGAGTCAAAAGTCGGGAACCCTTCCAACTCTGATCAGTGGAGCCGATTGCGAGACTGCGATGGGAGTCGAGGCGAAACAGTGCTTTGAATAAAAACCCCGTAATGGGATTTCCCTGCTCTTCGATTGCGAACGAACGACGAACTCTTTCCAGATCGGACCAACTCGTGACGCTCTCGTTATTCCTGATTCCGTGCTAAACTCTCCTTGCACTTATCCTATTACCAAGCAAGATCTGACTGGAATCCATCGCGAGTGGAGTGCCCCCGCAGGAAAGTGCAGCAGAACTCGCCGCGGAACATCGAGGCAGCGTGCGATAGTGAAATGCAGACTCACCCAGGGAAGCCCTTGCGCTCCGCCGTGCGCGGGTGCATTCGGAAAACAAAATGGAAACCAGACCCCAAACCACGAACCGATTTTTGGCTCGATCTCGTGCAATCGGAATAGTGCTCCGAGCAGGAGTCCGGATGCGGCTCCACGGCGAGCCGTCCGACCGGAACGCAACGGCCCATCGTGCAGCTGAATTCGACCCAGCAGTGAATAGGGAGTCGCCTCTTAAGGTCGCGAAATTCTCGAAATCAGGGCGGGTTGCGTGGAGCGAACACTGAGTTTTCTCAGAAATCCCTCAAAGATAATTGTCCACCGAGGGAGGAAATACCTTAGGCCCTACAATAATATAGGTCCATTCTACCAAATTCCCAAGGGATAGATTCCGATTGTTCTGGAACAAACCAGCAGGAGACCAGCTCGGGTTTTACTATGGGAAGATATTGGCCGTAAATACGTGGTTGAATGGAACTCCGTCTCTTCCGTGCGACCTTTTTCCTTCCGAATTAAACGAGTCTCGGAGAATCTCGAGACTAACGATGAGTCGAAGTTGATGAAATCTATCGCAGTGATGACTTTTCCGCGTCCGCGTAGGACAATAGCCTCCGAGAGGAATGCAAATTGAGCCCTCCGGGCTCGTTCAACCATTATAAACCGCTTACCTGCAGGCCACCGAGGCAAGGGGCAACCATTAGGAACGAGAGGAAAAAGCTCGTTCCTTGTGAACGACTGTTTTTAGAGCTGAGCAGGGGAGTTTCCGGTCCGGCGACTGAGGGGAAAACCCCTTCGGAATCCAGTTATCGGGTGAAGGTCACCGTGATGCCGGCGTTTACAAGAATGTCCGCGAAACCTCTCGACAAAGCATGTGCCGAGCTTGGCAGGCCTGACTGCTGACAGGTCTCGCTCTACCAATCTTCATCTTGTGAATTAATCAAAATGAGGGATGGGAAACGTTCCGTGTGAGGCGAATTATCGTACACGCGAGGATTTATCCCGCGTCTCAGGAAGGATCTACAACTCCACGTTCAAACACAACTCGGTTGAAGAATAACTGATGTTTTCGTTTCATCCGGAGCAGCATTCGAACCGTATTCGTCGACGTGCGAGTGCTCTTCTCACGAGGAGAGCGCCCTCGCATGGATCAGTCCTAGCTCAGATCTCCGGTCCCGTGTTCAAGGGTCAGCGCTGAGGACGCCAGCCTTAAGATATACACGTAACCTCGGAACGATGACTTGCGCGCTCTATCGCGCTCTTCAGTGTCTCCCTCAAGAGACGCCGGGCTCTTCTCCTCTCCGCGTCCCTCTTCAGGATCCGAGTCCGACGACACCGGCGCTCCGATAGGTAATTCAACGACACCGGCTCCGATCAGACATGTCAGACTCAGATTTGACTTGCACACGTCTTCAAATCGGCTGCAACGATCAGCTGGATTGAATCCTTACGACCCCCTCCCCGTCCAACGAGAGGTGAGAGTGCATGGCGATGAGAGCGGCGCGACATAGAGTCTGTCTGACTCCAGCGTCTGATGAGCTCTAGGATTACACATGTCACTCTGGGAATTACTTCAGATTTCAGATATCGGGAGTCTCATGCGAGAGCATAGCTAGGCCGTGAGCACTGCAACGCAAAGTTCGTTCATGGCTCCTGATGACAGGGAGCATGGATGGATCACTGACAAATCCTGTGAGATGTTGCTCGCGGAAGTACTCGGAACTGAACGGAAATCCCCAACAGCGTACGCTCTTTGATCGACGCCCCTGTTCCGCACATGAAAGCGATACGATACCGATCGATGGTCCGTCCCGGGAACAGTGAGAGCAGAACGAATATCCCTGGAGCAAGATTCGATTCCCCTCGCGATAATTGAGGTTGACCTCGGGGAACAGGGAATGTCCCCATTCGACGCACTCGCAGCTATCATCAAGGTAGATGGATTTCGCTTCATTTGTGATAACGATGGCACTCGGTCCATCGAGAGTCGCCCGGAAATTCCGGATCATCATCCGACGAATTGTTCCCAGTCAGTCAAGCCGCTCACATAAGGCTCGGAATGTGCGGGGGATCGTGTACGCAACGACAAACTTTTCGCTGGAGCGACCAGTGCTCAGCAACACGATCTCGATCGTCAAGTTTCCCGGACGGGAACCTCATCACCGAGTGCGGAATTTCGGAAGCGTGATGCCTTGATGAGATCCGGTCACCGCGAGACGTTTGTACGGCTTATCCGCTGTCCCCATTCGAGGAGGGACACGGCATCTCCCCGTCTGGAGTCACCGCAGTATCGAGTGGATAAATTCGGAGTCCGAGCGGAGAGCACCCGGGGCCTCTTCTCGCGGGAGACTCGGTGCCTCCACCAGAATTTCGCAGCCTGTCTGCCCCTGTCCGCATGATTTTCGGCTAGAGCAGGCACATGGATTCCTCCAGCCTAGCGCGCCGAGATGAAGGAACTCCACAGCGTGTGATCAGTGATGATGTCCCTGACTCGGAACTCGGGTCCCACGGGTGCCAGAAGGGTGAAGAGTCTAGGCAGCTCCAATCGGTGCTCTTCTCTCGCGAGGATTCTTCCGGTCTGAGAATTTTGATGAATTTCTCTGCTTGGCGGAATCTTTTTTGGCGATTATGAGCTTCTCTCAACTCTGCGGAGAACAATCAATGGAGCTACGCGAAAAGAATCTCGAGAATAAGACGAGTACAAAGTTCTCGTACTACAGTCGTCTGAAATCTCTTCACGGAACTATCGAGACGTATGCTTGAAAGAACTTTGTGTGCGAGTTACCGATATCGGGAGGAGGGGGGCGATGATTGCCTCTGCAAATGTTAGCCCGAGGAATCGCCAGCACCCATGGAGCGACAGAGCGAAGGGAGACATGCAGATGCGCGGGAGAGTCGAAAAAGCAGCTCGAGGAGGATCTGATGAATGATCGAGAACGCCTAGAGAAGTGATTCACATTCCAGAATTTCTGTTCACCTTGATGCGCCCACTCAATGGACGGAAATTCCACGAATTTCATGCGAGAAAGCTCCCCCCCTTGCGCACACCTACGACAATGAGGCTCTCTCAAGCTCGTGTAACACCAGATTAGCAACGGAGGAACAGCGGCCAGCATGAATAAAATACGATATGGATCGGGAAGGAGCGAAGGAGGAGTTTTTGACGAGAGCGTCCCGTGCCGCTGACTTCGGAGAAGCTCTGACCTATGACAAAAGCTCCGGGTTTCAGTCCTCTGTGATGGAATTCGAGATTCGGATGCTCATTCGCCTCTGGATCCACAGCCGGCTCCCCCATTGGAGCGGGGCACGCTCCCGACGCTGTCAGGTGTAAGGACAACGTTCAACTGGTTTTATATTCCACTAGCTTACGATTAGCAAGGTTGAACACTCTCCTTTTGCTGTGGGAGACGAACGCGTGTTAAGGGTACAGCTCAGTTTCATCCGTTCATTGGGCTAGCAAGAGAATTAAGGAGAAGTCGGCCGCGTTCCATTCAGCGCACGTAAATCTCGTAGTTCCTTCCGCCTTGTATCCACTTGCTCCATTGTATTCGGGAGTTCAAAGCTGTCCTTCCGGTCGCTGGGCACTCGTTAAGGACATGCTCCCTTTGTCCCGCTCAATGGGTCCAACAGCGAAATTAGAGGAAAGGAATACAACGCCGGGAACTTCAGACACTCCCAGCCGCACACCGCCGTATCCGAAGACATCCACCCATCGATTGGGTCTGAATGCGATGGAGTGGGCTAGAGTGGAGATCGCGGGTAGGCGGCACACGTTGAAGGGCTACCGTGGGAAGGGGATGTTTACCGGCGAGCCAGTCGAAGGAAATCAATGAATCCGCTCAAAGATGTCGATTTTTCGCCTCATGGCTGTATTCGCCTTCGTCGGTCTGTTTACCATGCTCTTCGATGCATTAGTTATGTCTCGGATGTATGATATATCCGCTCGTATCCGCTCTCATCGGGACATCCGTTTAGGATTGAGCATCGTCAGTCGGTCGGAGCACATCGTGTCCGACCTGCTCTCGCATGCGAGAAGCAGGTACGATTCAGATGAGAAACCTTTCGTCTCCGAAAATCGAGCTGTGTCAGAAGTCAGGATTCTGGAGGATTGGATCGGTGTGCTACGCAATTTGTACAGTTCGCAGATCGATCTTAAAGAGTTTTCTAGCCCCTGACAAACGGATCTCATCCGAGTAGTAAAGTCCATCAAAAATTACGGAAAAAACATATGTAGGACGAAAACTCACATTTCTGCCAAGTGATTGAAGTTCGCGAAAGTTCCACGCTCGATGTGATAGAGGTTGGGCCATTCGCTGACACGTCTGAAATGAACATAAAGCCCAGCTGAGGAACCCGGATTTCCATCGTGGCTATTCTATGCGGACTTTTGTTTCAAATGTCGTATGTCGTATTTTGCCCCCCCTCAATACCTAATTGAGCTTCCTATTTATGATATCGCCGATGCAGTTGCTTCATGGATTTACGTGGATTAATTTAAACCCAGATTTATAGTCTGAGTGAGAGCATCTCTTTGAGCAGAGCTCGATTCTTCAGCTACGAGGTACGATCATCCTGAACTCTCTGTAATACAACACCACCTTGTCTGCCGACTCTGATCGCTCGACTCATCGGAGAACCGAGCGTCCTCGTCTGCGTGATCGAGACTGCACTCGTTACGGTATCGCCGGGGCATGAGCTCTATTTTATGGTCGTCCATGGTCGCGACGGGTGAGTTCATCCCTCACCTTCCCGCATGGAAGCATCACGACATTTTTTGCATCGCGAGATCGTTTCCGTGAGAACTAAAGATCGAAGATCTATGACTTTCAAGCTCTCGTGGCAGAACGGGAACGAGGTGCAAGGCCGAACTCCCTCGAATCGGACGGGCGATCGTCCGATCTATGGATCATGGAATAGACTCCTGACGAATCTTCCGCTTCGACAAGGCTCCAATTCTGCAATTTCCCGTGAGTTCATTGTTTCGCTGCGTCTATTAACCGTCCTCTGTCCTACGTCATTCCAATGCCAACCCTGGGGAGCTCTCTGCGAGAGTGCAGGAGCTCCAAGCATTGATGCGGAGTCGATGGATTTTCTCCGGCAGGGCTCACGCAAGTTCACCGCCCGAGAAGAAACAAGTCTGTCTCCAAAACCTCTTCTGGCTTAGTCCAAAAGAAACTGCGGATCCGGTATTCTATCTCACGATTGTCTTTGGAAAGAACCTTAACGAGAGGAATAAAGATGGCAACCGCTTTGTTCGCAACGAGCTCCAGTCCCACGACGCCGCGCCCGAGTCAAGCTTGTTATCTGCAATATAAAATCCAAAGCGTCCCGGGAATTATCTCTCCACCGCGCCGGAAGATACAGTCGGCTCACTTCCAACACGTCCGAAAAAAATCGTTCGGTTAGATCGGCTTAATCACCGGATCGGAGAGGCCGGACGAAGATAAGCTCCCAGAGGGGTGCAAGGGACCCGAGGGGATGACTTTCAGAAATCGGGCGACGATCAATAAGTCCGCCGCAATCACTCCGAAATGTGTCGAGACTGCGCTGCCACGCGACGATCGACTCCGGTGGATCTGAGGCCGCGACAAATGAGCATGAGCCGACCGGGGATGACTCACAATCACTGGCTCATGTACTTCCCCGTAGAGTCATATCTCAAAGTCCCTTGGGAGACGCTTCCATCAGTCGGCTGCCTGAAAGCCTGTCGGGACCGATGACTTCAGACCGCTGCCTGCTCCGAACTCGATTCGACTCCCGATGTCCGAGAATCCTTCGGAAATCACCGGCACGCCCGGGGGGGGACGACAGACATGGGGTGATTATGTCCCAAGGAATGATGCAAAAACTCCAAAGGTGAAAGTCACGCGCGGAACGCGCACTTCGCGGCGAAAATGATATGTACCCGGTCACCGGTCAGAAAGTTCCGTATTCGGTTCGGGAAGACGGAAGTATAGAACGCCCCGGGTGTTCGATGGTTGCCTTGAAGGACTCGCCAGAAAGCCAGGAATTCGCCTGCGTTCATCTTCATTCTGCAGGAATGTGCACTCCGATGACGATGATGATCGGTGTGAAGAAACGATTTTCGGAAGGCCCAGGAACGATGCTTGCGAAATCTCCCTCGCACACAGGACCTCCACGTAGAGAACGAGAACGCAGGGAAAAGGTAAAATCGCTGACTCCGTAGGGGAAGTTTTCAAGACAGAGACATTGCTGATGCACTCAATAAGATTGAGGACGGTCATCTCCATCTTGAGACGCTCGCTCAGCCGTGGTCTCTTGTTCATCCCTTCCTCGCGTTGACAGTCTTGACGAGCAGTTTCTAAATTTTCGGTTGCGGAAGAGTCGGCCCCTGGACCTACTGGAGCTTTCAATCTATCCCCGGTGTTTTCTTTCCACGATATGATCTCACTTCAGCGAAGAACAATGTGCGATGAGCAGGCGTTCAGGACCTTATCCCGCTCGGTGCCTTATTAGCATCGCATGTCTCGTGGGATGTTCGGGAAGCCCCTCCGAAAGCTCGCACGTCGTCGGGACAGGAGTTTCCCTCCATGCTCTATATTAAATCTCGCTCTACGATGTACCTAAGTACACATGTACACTCCTCCAAGGCAGGACCTCCAAAGCAGGCATCGCACCACGTAGGGAAGAGACATTCTGATATCACAGGAGGCGACCAAACGAGCTCTTGGCTGCCCGGAGTCGCCTCCTGGAAACTCTGAATTCGCGCATCCGTGCGCTCTTCGTCTCAGTCAGAGCTGGCGCACTTGGCGTGCAAGATGTCTGAATGCGCCGTCGAGGAGCCCGCATATTCAATGAGCCACTTCAAAAAAAACAGACGCTGCGTGAATATCAGTCAACTCGAGCAAGTCAAGACAACGATGACGATGGCCGATGAGCTCCGGAGAGACGGCCAGTGGCCAGGAGGTCTATCCGGCTGTGTCCTTGTCAACGGACGAAGACCCCGTGGAATTCCTGCGGAGACCGGACCGGAGGTCAGCATGAATGGAAGCCCTCCCTGGCCTTCCCGCCGGAGGCTCCTCTGCCCTTCGAGAGTCTTCCGGTACGTCCTATTCCGTGCTCCCTCGTGCCGACATTTGGCCCGAAGCTCCCCGCTGGAGCTGACCGAGCGCTGGCGGGAGCTTTGCGACTAGCAGCCGGAGTTCTGATGCGTGAGTCCGCTGACTCTTATTGCATTTCCGATCATGACTCCGATGGATAGAACAGATGAGCGTCGTGACTTGCGGGATCAAGAGGATTAAGCTCCTCGTGAGGCTCGGAGCGACGTCCGCGTCCGCTCTGAGGGGAGTACTCCCCCTCAACAAGATTGGCCTGATGCCGGAATGAATACTTTCGCCTAATTCCTCGAAGGCTCTGGTTGGTCCGACTGAGTGCTCTCCTCGCGATTCGACTGATGCGTTTTAAACGAAGTTACCACAAACTCGTGTCTTCTCGCCTAAGCCTCAATTACAGCACCAGGAGCGGCGTTTCGCGAAGTTTTCAATGTGGTAACTGTAGCCTCAATCTCGTCAGCTCCGAGGAGGTCGATTCCACCCTTCTGACTTAGCCCAGCGGGGTACACAAGGATCCTCTCCTCTCTGTCTCGTCTCCTGAACTTCGAGTGAGTGATGCTCTGTGAAGGGAGGGCGACTCAATCGAGAAAATAAGCCGACTTATCCGAACGAGATCGATGACCTGCTCCTCGCGGCCGCAATTTTGTGTGCCGAATAATCAGATCGAACAAGGCCAACGTGATGGAAAGCTCACAATCTTACGGAAGACTGCGGTCGAGAACTATACCTCGGGAGCGCTGTTGATGATGACGGGATCTCGACAACCTTCTCGTCGGATTGTTAGGCCTCTGGCATCAGATATAGACTCGCCCCCTCCTTAAACGTCGCGAAGCTGTTCGATATGTTTTGTGCGTAGCCGGAGAACGTCGAGCGATCGACTCTATGAATATCGACTTACATGACTTCGATGAACTGAAAAGTCCTGAACGTGATATTGTACATCCGGGGCTCCGTGAACGCCTCGATCGTCCTAGAAAGTGAAAAGAGAGTAATATCAGTTCCCGTTCCGCTCTTTCGCGCGCCTGGTTCTCGGCTATCGGAGGCGGCGACTTTGTCCGAATAGGTGGCCTGAGGCCCCGCAAGACGACCAAACGACTTCGATCTCCGAGTTCTAGTGAGACGATACGGACAATTTCCTAGACATAATTCGTTCGGATGTCGGTTGGAAAAACTTGCTCTCAGGTCCGGTCAAGTGTAAAATTGCGATAAGACCTCTACGTTGACGGCAGCTCTGCCGCTCTAGCAACACGCGTAAATCTTGCGAGCAAGGTTCAACAGATAGAAGTTTATGGGGGAACCCCAGGGACTCGGACCGAGCTCAGAGAGCAGCATTTGCAGCGAGATTTACTTTTCAAATCTCAATCATGTCCCCGATAGAAATCGGAGCGGCTTCTCTCTCCCGAGACCCCTGAGGCTCCGAATCGACGCAGTGTTCGATTCACTACATGGCGCAAGTTCCATTGACTGGGGAATTCAGCTAAATTCTCGATCGTATGTTCAGGTTCAGCAGACTGGAGGTGGAGTTCTCGATTTGGTGAATAATCTGCTGCTTCTGTTCCCCAGATCGAATCGCGTTTTTCATCAAGTTTTCCGATCCTTGCGCGGCCGGGGGGGCTCGTCGTCCTCCCCGGTGATTTTCTCGGCCGGAACAATCGAACGAGGCACAGAGAGTGCCAGTGAGCAAGTTACGACGCAGTATTTCACGATTCTTCGACAACCCTCCGCTCCGGGTCGGCTTAACGGGAGGAATGAGGGGGAAAAGATTTGCAGATGAAGGGAGACTGCCGTATGGTTTCCGCGCCAGGCCCAAAGAATTCATTGGGTATGCTTCCCCTCAACGGAGCGTCAACTCACAGTGCACAACTGCTCCCAGCCGCTCGCGCCGGGAGACATCCCTCCGGAAATTATCCGAAGGTTTTCATACGCAGACACTCCAACGGCTCGCAGAATTTTCCATTCAAATGCGCCAGGACAACGCTCCTGTTTCGCAAGGTTCCCTCGGCGGCGCGTCTCTCCGCAAAAAAAACTGGAAAGGAGGATGGATGGATGGAAGCAATCATCGACCTTCACAATAGAAATCCTGCAAGTACATATATACTTATAATAGAGATTTCCTTCCGCTACGTGAGTTGAGGTTCTCTGTTGCGGCTGTCAGGTCGTGTCCTGCGTCTCGGATAGACCATCGCAACAAGTAACTGAACCTCGTCCCATTTGAATTGCAAAGCTCAGGTAATTTCCTTCAG